GGGGGGGGAGGGGCGGGGGGCAGGGACAGGGAAGTGAAAACCCCAACCAAAATAGTTCCTTAATTTATGGGAGGTTCAGCACAATTGTTTGTGATGACCAAAGTCCTCGAGAAGAGATTACACACCAAATCCCACTCAAATTAAAAACGCAAGACCTATTCCAGCGTAAATGGCCAGGAGCAAGTTATCCGGTTAAATGTCATAAAAATATTCAATGAAGCAGAGTCAGTGACTGAAAGCTCAAACTGGCCTCCAAGGCAGCCAGGGTGGCTGGGGGCTGTTTTGGGGAGGCACACATCAAAATCGGATTATTTGGATGCACCAAATGCTCAAGCATTTACTTCTAATTAAGTTTCTGCAGAAATATTATCCTTGTTCTGCTCAGTGCAAGAAATAGCCATAAGCTTGATATATTCCCACTGCTGACTGTGGCAAATTCATCTGACTTTTCTAGTTGAAGAATTTAAGATGAATCCTTTCAGCAGCACTTCCTTAAAAACAGAATAGTCCAGTGAACGATTTCGCATTTTTACGGGGTCCTTCCAAGATGAACCAGAAGACAGCCTCAAAACAGGGAAACATCAGCATAACAATTACCATTGAAACCATCTCTTTTAGAGCACATTTGTAGTTCAAACCGCTGTCTGCCTTCACTCAGTCCCCCTACCTTCATCCTCCTTTCCCCGAGCATTTGCTGCAGCTGTGCTTGTATGGTTCCTGTAAAAAAGGCAATTTACCCATGGTGTTGCCTACTCAGAGGTTACTTCTGCCCGCCGCTCCAGCTGTGGATTACAGCACCTTTATTTACTCCATATTGCTGCAGTTTTACTAGAAACCTCCTAAAAGAGCCAACTCCAGCTCCTCTGGTGCCCCCAAACCACCCCCAGCGCAGGCAGCTCTGCCTGCTCCGACCCACCACAGGGCTGGCAGCAACACCCCTGACCAAAGGCAAACTGCACGACTCCCACGGCACTTGCAGAGCCACCCCGACACCCATGGCTGGCTTTCCTTTCTTTGCATCCCTTGGAGATGGAACGCAAGCCAGCACCTTCTCCCAAGGCAGGAATGACTTCCCAGAGAGCAAGCAGGAGAAGGTTTCTGGTGTTCGGTATGAACCCAGAGTTCCCTCTGGTGGCCAGCTGACCATGCCAGCCTGGACCTGATCCTGCCTCTTCATAACCCCAGTGAGCCCGGGATGCCTTCACCCCTGCAGCTGAAGGGCTGCTAGGATGTTCCGCCCTTCATCCTGCCCCATGCTGAAGGGCACGGATCAGTAATTGTGTGATTTGCATGCGTGGTAGCGAGCGCGTGTTGCTCCGGAGCAGCACAAGGAATCCTCCCCTTCCCTTGGGAAGGCTCTCGTCAAGGCTCTCGTCAAGGCTCCTGCTCCCCCTGCAGGGAAACCTCTTGCTTTTAACAGCCCCTTGCTGCGAGGGTGCCTGCGCAGCCGGCGCCTGTAGTCACCCACCGGCTAAAATGAGAGTAACAGGCTGGGTTCATCCAGGTCTCCTGACGAGCGGCTCTTCTCTCGGAAACAAAACGCAAGCTTCCAGCACCGTGCAGCTCCCCAACACGCCGGAGATGTAACGTCTTGCAAACGCAACCGGAAAAAAGCCAGATGGAAGCCATGTCCTGAGAGACCTTCGCTGGAGAATGAGATCAAAAGTGCCGGGAGAAACAGAAATAAGCTGTTTCAAACCGTTTTTCCTTACACGTCTGGTTGTAATACACACTCTTCACTTGGCACACGATGTTCAGGTGCTCTCCTTGCATCCTGCAGCACTTTGCTAATCATGAGATTACCCAGATACTTTATTTAGAGAATACTTTATTAGTTTCTGTAATCAAACCCATGTAAATAAGACCGTACATATTTAATACAGTGCGTTACCCCTGTACAAATGGAAAAAAAATTAAGTTTAACATTTCTAGACCAATATGGCTGTTAATTTCTGTACAATGCCAACTCACACTACAAGTGGGATACTTTTTTCCAAAGTTGACATCACAGCTAAAGTTTCCAAAAATTCAAATTATATATATATTTATATAAAAAGATAACCAATAGCGATTCACTAGGCATCAATAGCAGCAACAGCCTTTCCAGCTTCTGCAGTCATTTGAACAAAATTATACACATTAGACTTTCAACTCACTCTTCCTTCCAAAAAATGTAAAAAAAAAAAAAAATCCCAGAAAAAACCAGCAAATTCTGCTACTGATGTGGTACCTGGTGCTTTTTATTAGCTTTTTCAATCATCGTCTGGAAAAAAACCTCTAGAATAACATTATTAAAAACAGCTCCAGTATAGCACAGTCACTACTACATATCATAAGCAGGTACAGGATATCTTACATTCACAGAAGTATCATACAGTACTGTCCTACAGCTATAATACTAGAGGATACAATTAAAAAGGCATTTATTTGACTTGATTCTACTTTCCAGCACGCTGTGGGCAAGGAGGTGGTGCGACGCAGCTCTGATATAAAGAATGCACCTTTTAGATAAAACTCTCTTTAATCCAATAAGGTTTCTTTTATTCTCGTGGCACAGTTCTAAGTGCTCGTTGCTGTATACAGACATAAGCTGGAAACCGTTTAAAGATCACTCGCATCATATAAAGATAGCTGGACAGAGGTGAACAGAACAAATTCGACTATTGATGCAATGAACCTTTCAACTCCAGAGGTGAACGACTGAGGGGGGAGTGGGTGTAGAGAACACAGGTGGCCAAGTAGCATTTTCATATGGTGATCTAAATACAGTATACTGTCATCCAAGAAGCAGCAGCCAGCAAAGCACTGCCTTCAGAGGGAAATTCAACATCATCAGCGTTACTCTTTGTGTTACGGTAAGTTAGATGTCACATGGCAAAGGCAATTTTGCCAGCTATATGAATCCCTCTGTTTATTACAAGATAGAAGCTTCTTAAGTCACTAAAAACTTACACACATTACTTGGCCCAGCACCATCTTCAGATCTGCATGTTCTCATACTCATGGGTTTATAAAAAGATAAATAGCAGCTGAAGATCAGAGCCTGAAGAAAATAAGAGAATTCATCTTGTCAGCTAGGAACATGCCTCCCCGACCACCTTCTTCCCCGCTATTGCCATTTCTCAAATTTTTTTCCACTTTGGGAAGCATACAGGTGTGTAAGCCAAAACACGCGTACACGTGTAGAACCAAAAGCAGCCTTCATGCTGTTAGAGAAGATACGAGCCCAAAGAGCCTAGAAGCTCAGTTGGATACGCAGCAGTTTGCACCCGTAACTGCCGATAGCTTCTATGTCCCTTTACGCTGTTCAAAGCCCTGCAGGGAAAGACGACTGTTGTCTCGTCCTTTGGGCTACAAATTCATGCTGCTGTCATCTCACCCACCCTCCCCTCTTCCCCCACCTCCATGGAAACACAGCCTCTAAGATTTTGTTTCTTCGGTTTTGATTGCCTGAGGTTTGATTGGTCCAGTTCTAACAGGTTTTGTTGCCGCAGCAGGCGCAGGGGTAGGCTTTTCCTCAGTTTTGTCCTGGCAGACTCCTGAAGAGTCAGCAATTGCCTCGGTGGGTTTGCTCCCGTTCTCGTCCACTTTCTGCGCTTTGCCTCCTATGGGTTTGCTCTGCTGCTGCTGCTCAGAAAAGAATCTCTGGGTAGACTGAAGTACCTCTGCTCTCTGCTTTGCCTTAAGAAAGGGAGAAAATATGTTTACTGAAGAGAGGGCATTGGAATAAGAGTGACTTCACAGAAGTATTTCCTAAATGAAAGAGGAAGGACTAACCGCGGTGGCCAGACTTTCTTAGAAAGGCAGCGTCCATCCAGTTGCTTCCCAGATGTCACCACATCTGGGCGCTTGGCTCCTCAGTAGTAGCTTAACATCATGCCTAGGCTTCCCTTGCCCTTCCTAATCCTCACCCCATAAAAGAGGATCAAGGACAACAGTTTGAAGCATTATCTAACATCTTTTTATGCCACTACTACTGCAGAGCTTAAAAAATATAAACACTGCCTACCGTAGGCTCAAACTGAAGCTTCACTCCTCAGTAAGAGTCAGACATGACCAGAAGGCACGTGTCTGTACGCTGCCCATGCCCTGACACCGGGGGCCATGCCAGCTGTCATTTCTCCTGCCGCGTGGTCTGGACTTCTTGAGCGCAGGGGCTGTATGACAGCAGCAGAATCTAGTCTGAGCACCCCAATTTTTCCCCCCTGGTGTTCTGGACACAGGCTTCAGAGTCTACAATGGGGATAAAAGTGAACCGGGTTCAAGGCTGTATTATATGTAAGCTGAAGCCTTATCTGCTTCCCACTCAAAGCAGGCGCTCATGCCAGGAAGCACAAACTACTGCCTGGCTTCCTTCAAATCCCTCCTCTGAATCCTACCAGTAACTTGACTTGCACCTGTGAAATTCAGCCTTTGTGACTACATGTTTCATTTACATTTTTATACTGGACTTTTCATGTGTCAGTGAACCACTGTGCTTCAGACCAAGCACTTGGCTTTCCTGCCCAGACTTGGGCAAAGCAGGAATTGCATTAAGAGTTCAATCTTTTGAAGCTGCACAATTAAGCCCAATGCAGTCAAACACCTTTTTTAAAATTAAAAAGGCATATCTTAATACAAGGAACCCCAACTACAATACCAGACACTAAGCCTCCATGTACCTCTCTAAGTATTTCACGCTTTTTTACAGAAAACAGGTGAGGGGACAGGACAAAACAGCAAAAGCCTGGAACAAGAGGTCTCGGCTTTAATACTGTGTAGTTGCTCCAGGTAACTCAACCAACAATAGAACAGAAAACAAACCTGTGAACTCTGTTGTGCAGGACTGCAGCAACAGTCTGATTTTACTGGAGCCAGATGGACACCTGAAATCTTTTGCATAGATTTTAGCCATCCCCTGAGATTAAGGCTAGAAGGCTGGATGACTTGATCACAAGTAACCAAGCGTGACAGAATAACTCACATTCTTCTGAACACTGCTTGCGGGGAGATTCAGAAAACCAGGACTGTGTATTAGTATTTGCTATGACTGGCTAGATTCAATTTGTAATATAGACTCAAGACAATATACTAAGCATCACCTAGTAGGTCTACAGCTAGCATAAACTGGTGGTAGAAAACTAAATGGACCAAATACCTAGAATTCAAGGGGTAATCAATTCTCCTACAACCAGACATAACCAGGAAAAATACACTCTTGCTTTTACACCTCAATGCACATGTTACGGCAAATGACAGTAGATGAAGGAGCTCCTTAGTACCACCTATTCATACAAGCAACTTATTCTGCAGAAAACAGGCTAAGTGTACAATGGTGTCCCTACACAGACGCCCCATATTGCAGTCCTGTCTTGGTAAGAAGAGTTTGCCTCAACCTGAAGGGTCCCAAAGTGCTTTAACAAGTTAGACGACTTCCATCAACTCCTACTGCAATGCAGCCACCTCTTCTGTGGAGTGTACCATGTTACTGCATTCTACCATAGGCAATTAAGCACAGGCATTTCAAACCACTGGGAAATCATTCTCGAGAGTCACCAAGGAGCAAGGCTGACTGGAACAGGAGGGTTCATACTGCTGCTCAGAGCTGGGGAGGCAGATGCAAAATGATAGCTAATAGCTGGGTTTGTAGGCTTCATTACCCATTCAAAAATGAAACCTAGTTGTCAGATTGCCATTGACAGCAGTGGCAGCTTCACAACTGCTGACCACAAGACCACTTGAGAAAGGAAGCTCCCTACAAATTTTTTAGTCTAAAGTTCTTATTTAAAACAAAACAAAACAGGGCTTAGAGAAGGTCTGTGTTCAGCTCTTAAAGGCCCAGCTACCGGCTCTGAGTCCAGAGGCATTTTAATTAAGACATGATTTGCAGACACATTCCTGCCCTACAAGCTGTCAAGACTGAACTGGTGTTAACAGCACTGCTGTTCAAATACTAACCTTCACGTCTCGTTCAGCCTTCATCGCAGCCTGGGCCTGATTGCCTCTGGCTCCAGATACTGATCCACAAAGACCTCTGGCCACACGCGGTAAATGAGGGTGGCTCATAAGGCCTGTGGTCATCTGAGACGGCATCTGACTATGCAGTACTATTGGCAGCCTCTGAACAGGCGCTGGGAAGGTGTTAGTATATGGGGCTCTTACCAATGGAGGGAGCAGGTTAGGCTGAGAGAGGATCTAAGTGGGGGAAAAACAACAAAAAGACATTTCGCAGTTAGAAAACTGCCAACTAGATTGCATGTTGGCATTATCTTAAAGGGGAAAAAGTTGCTGCTCTGCTGTCAAACTGATGTCAAGAAAAGAGGCTTTTATGTTAAGAAAGGCCACACTTGAACTCCAGAAAAACACAGCCCTATAGTGCTGCTGTGCCTGAAAGTAGTACCAACAACTTAAACCAGCATGTAATAAGGGAGAAGATCCACGCAAGGCAGTGGAGGAGTCACTAGTGAACGGCAGCCCTGGGAAGGCTAGGTAGTTTCTGCTAGTGGCAATCCAAAAATCAAATCTCAAGTCCTGCAGTCAAACACTCCAAATGCTGAAAGACAGACAGAAATACCCTACATTTTTACAGAGGCTGTATTTCCCTAGCAGCCTGGCTACCGTCACCTGTAACAGGGATGCACCACCCTGTGCTCCCTGGAATGCCAGAAGCAAATCAAACCCTTTGCCATCAGCCCTGCTTTGTATGGACTGTATGACGTCCAGAGATCCTTTCCAACCTCAGCTGCTCCATCAGTACTTCAGAGCTGCATCTCAGACAAACAACTGCAAATCTGCTTTGTCTTTAAACATTTAAAATATGCACTGGGACCCTTCTGAGACACGAAGCTTCTCCCCTTCCCCAACCAAACGATCTGTTTTTGCAGGATGAGGTGCATTACAGCTGCATGGGGAAGCCAGCAGAAAACCTTCTGTTCTACATCATTCACAACTTGTACTGAATTCCTCAGTGTGCACAGAACTCTCAAAATTAAACACACCACCAAATCTGCACTACTAGTTAGCAAGATCAGAGAGAGTTTTTTTGGCTTTGATCTTGAAAACAGTTTTCTCTCACCATTTCATTTTAAGGATTCCATTTTGTATCTCCCCATGATAAAGCCTGAGGAAACACAGCTGAGTTACAGAGTCACCAGGTCGTACAGAGAAACAGATTTGTTTGTAGGAAGCCACCAGTCACCTACCTGTGGTGCAAATTGTGCAGGAAACGGCTGTGTCATTCTCACAGCAGCAGCTGCTGACTGAAACTGCTTCTGGTAGACAATGCTGTTCATTTTATTGGACTGATTGTTAGGACTTGTAGAACTGGCCCTAAAGAAGATTATACCAGTTAGAATCACACTGCTCTCATTCAAAGCATGTTTCTGCCTTTAGTTACAACTTAACTAGAGATTCAGCATTGGAGGGGGAAAAATGATCTCTTAGAGAAGCTGGTATCAGACATGATTCTGTACCTACCGTTAGTTTCAAATGCAAACAAACTCAGGAACTTAAGAATACAAGAGAAATCAGAAATATTTAGGATATGGAAAGATTCCAGGGTAAAGTCTGCATGAAAGAGACCTTTCCCAAAAGTATTCATAACACAAATACTGTTGTTAAAAGTGTGTTCCCCTTCCCATCCCTGCTATCTTATGTTCAGCCCTACCCTTTTATGCTGTTCGCTCTATCGTGTCAAGTTCAGAGCTTGTCACAACTGGCATTAAGCATATGCAGCAGAAGCTGCCATGTACAGCTGCTTCCACTCTGACCTGTTGTCAAATGTTTCAAAATGCACTTGAACAGATTTCAAGAATTCACAGAAAACGCTCTCCCCCTGTTTTATTTGGCTAAGAACATGACCCTCCATTAAAACTTTTAAGAGGTGTCGAATCACCATGAATTAAATGAAGCCTGAAAGATTATCTGGGGGAAGAGCACCAAACAGCCCTCAGAGAAAGAGAAAAGAGTGAACAGCTTTCTTTAGGAAATGGAGCTTGAGAGTTCTCATGCAGAGTGTGTGGGTGATACACTTAACGTAAAATGAGCAGCGGGGCACCAGTGGCAAGGAAGCCAGCTAAACTCAATACACACGAACATTTTGTAAGCTTAAAGTCTCTGTTTAGTTTTCACTTTGAACTCTTGAGATCTATTACACTTTTGTCAATCTTCCCAGTACCTCCACACCTAAGAGCGAAAGCTTATAATAAGCCCTGCTTTGGTTGCTAAGAGAAGAGACATCTCGTGTAGAATCTCCAAGATATATACCATCGAGTCAATTCTCCTAAATGCTGACTAGCTTGCAAATTCAAGTTTCTTCTTCCTCCTCCCTTCACTTTTTTCTTAGGTGAAGTATTGGAGGCACGACTTCAGCATTGAGTTCAAACTCTCACTTCTACTTCACTAGAAAAGCCTGAACAGTCTGCTACAGTGAAAGCCACCAAATATAGTTATTATGCATGGGAGCGTGGCTTCCAAGAACAAAACTATCTTGTAACAAAGTTCCATTTTCAACTTCCTTCAGCCCACTGATAACTTCACCCATAAGCAGCCCAACAGGTTTACCATGACGTTCATCTGCAAATGATCATTTTCTGTTAATTCTGTCAATTAACCAAGCAAATCTGCAAACAGCTTACTAATTTCACTTGTGAGAAGCTTATAGATCTTGCAACGATTCTTAGTTCTCTAACAGAATTGTCACCACAACTGCAGTGTAAGCCTTCAAGTGTTTTTACTTTGAGCACTGCAATTAAGATAAACTGTCTTAGAGTTTTATCCCAAAGTACATCTTCCCTGCCACTTCTGTGCTTTCCTTGTACAATCCAGGTCATTTTACATTACTTGTTTAGTTTCGTTTAATCGAAAAAATATTTTTAACGTTTTATTTCAGAGCTACGTACTTCTGGCCAACTATAGCAGATCTGATGACCTATCGGAATGCTGCTTTTAAGCACTGTATTTTATATTAGTAGCCCTTCACCTCAAACCTTTCAGAATTGGCTGCTCATGCATGACTAGGTACATTTTCTAGCTCTGATTTCAAAGAATTTTGAACTTAAGAGAGATTTACCGGAAGGGACTGGAGGTTGGAGTAGTACTTCTACCAGTAACTGGTGGTGTTCCAGGTTTAACATCAATGCCACCTCCAAAGGCCTTCAGGTCCATTTCCGATATCTGAAAAACACAACAATTGACATGTTAAATCTAATTCAAAGAAAAATTACATTTACTAAGTAACTGTTAGCTTACCTCACATTTTTCTCAGTGAAAATAGATCACTTAAGTGGAGGTGAAAGCCACATTGCAAAACAGCTTCTTATAATTAGGACAACCCCAGCACCACAAGCGCCTCTGTGTACAATTTTCCTGCACTATTTGGCACTTCCAGCAATGGTACTGGCTTTCTAACTTTATTGTCCTGCATAATGAAAAGGGATTTGTGACTCATCTCACACGTTTGGCCCTAAAAAAGAATATATTTCAGGGTTGAAATTTCCTTCCCCATCTCAGGTACCACATGAAAATATTTAGATATAATCCTGAAAAATGCTGAAGAATGCCAGAAAATAATCCAGTTCTATAAAAAACCCCAAAAGCACAGCAAAAACGATGCTATCATTCACACAAAAAATCTCCAGACTCTAATTGGAGCAATGAATCTTGCATGTTAGTTTGCAGATACACTCAACAGAATAAATTAGTCTCTGGAATAGTATCCTTCCGCATACGGCCATGAAGCATAACGGCAACAATAAATCAGTTAAAAGTGAGCGGCTGTTTTAAGTTGACTTTCTTTAGCAGAAACATGAGGCAGGAAAGTCACCTAAGGCCATCATCCCAGTGCAGTTCTTCCTCATTTTTTGTTGAAGTGAGTGATCATTTTCCAATGACAACTGTAGCAAGAAACATGCTGCTGCTTGGAAGATGGGCTCATAAAAATTATAAAGGTGAAAAGGTTTGGCCAGATCCTATGAAGCTAGAAAACTGCATGATGCAAAAATCACCATATACTTTGGTGGATCACAGGATGAAAACTTAATTAGGTGATCTGGAATTCTGGTTGCAGTTACTGTCCAAAACATGGAATTAACACCTGAGAGAGATTTTTCTTATCACAGCTGTAAACCATTGGGACAGCAGGGTAATTTTATACTCAAAAGCACCCTAAAATCTAGGCCACAAGCTGTAAGGACTTCAGGTGCAGCTCCAGAACTAGATTACTCCCTGCACTGGGGAAAGACCTCGCTGTACCTGACAGAAAGATTAGCTGTGTTCATGTCCAGTGTTGTCACCCACTGCTCACCTGAAAGTATGCTGCAACTGCGCTGTGCTGCACACTATCCGAAAATCCCAGGTGCCTGTAAAGCTGTGATTCCATCTAAGACAAGAGACCTTGTGACTGGAAGCCAGCTCCACGCATCTCTCATTAGCAATTACAACAGCAGCTCCAGATAAAGGAGAGAATTACCTCCTAGGTATTCACGTTTCTTGCACTATTTCAGTGTTATCTCGTTACTAGAGCTGTCACTCAAGGACAGTTTTCTTCAGCTGCAAGACCAGCTTTTTTTTTTTTACATGTCAAAGGTCCCACCTTGCATACAATACTACATTCTCAATATGCACCTTGCTGTGGTATTCAGAAAAGCAGACCCCCAGCAACATTAGTAGAGTTTAAGTCTGGTTTAAGGTCACAGCTGATACAAGGTCCATTGAAGCCCCTAAAACTCCAGTATGTTGCACTGGAAAGACTTGATCCCATGCAACTTGCTCAAGTATGAGACCAGAAAAAAAAAAAGACGACAAACACATGCATGACCAGAATAAAAAAACCAGTCCTGACAGTGTAACATTGTTTGCCTGCTGCTCTAACAATGGCTTTGTACCATTTTCTACATGGCTTCTACATGAAATATCCTACTAGTCCATGAAGTCTTTATCAAACTACACATTCCTATAGTGCAAATGGACTAGTATCAAGTTAGCTACAAAAACTCAGCTAAACCTTTACAAAACGCACAGACCCAGTCACTAAGGAACTAACCTCGACTGGCTTTTCTATCTTCTCCTCCCTACCTTTTAAAGTCAAGGCAGATTTTTACATGCAAGAGTCTACATGGGTTGCTGTGCTGGTTCTATAAAACAGCATACAGCTGTGCTTTGTATTAATTTTTGTACTGTTGATCTACCAATATTGTTACCTTTCCAGTTGCAGCAATCATGCTGTGTTGAGTTCCTGCTGGGATTAATCCTCTGAAAGGCTGGGTTACTTGTGCAGGTCTGCTTAGATTTTGAGCCTGTGCTTGTGGTGGCGTGTGCTGTAGTGGTGGTTGTAAAGATTGGGGTAGGGCAATAAGTGGCTGTGCTGTGGATCCAAAGTTTGGCAAAGAAATCTGTGATCCTGGCAAAGGTACCGTCACCTGGAAAAAAGTACAAAATCACCAGTAACATATACACAAGGGCCATTATTTAACCTTCTTTGCTAGCTCTCTGATGTCAGGTATATTCAAGGTAAATGGCTTAATGAGTTCAAACATTTACCCAGACAGCGGCAAGCAAGTAAGTGAATTTATTGTTTAGCCTGTCTTTATAATCAGTTCTAATGGCATTGGGGTCTTTGCTTTTCAGAAACAAAGTTGCATGCTAGCTCCTAACTCCAACATCATTCAACATGATTTCATTGTATGAAGAAGTAAATGTAATTCAACTCAGAAAATAAAAGTAGAATGAAATAGCCAACTGGGGGGGTAGATGGGGTTATTTATTTACTTCAAATAATTTTTGTCGTCATAAGGACACTGTTTGGGATGAAAACTAGATTTTACTTTCCAGCAGTCCCAACAGCCAGCAGCCCGAGCTAAAAAAAACCCCCCAAAATCCCCACACAAACCAACAAACTGCCGCCTGTCCCTTGCTCGCATTAACAGGGAGTGCTGTGGGCTGAAAACACCACAGAATGGTAGTGATAAACATGAAAACACCACAGCAGTGACCTGACTGGCAGGAGTTACTGCATTTCCTAGTCTGACCATCAATCCACAACCTGCAAAATTATATTCTAAGTATGACTGGAAGAATGATATATTCTCCAGATGTGAAAGACTTACTAGGTTTCTGCTCTGAAGGATAACAGATTAAAAGTATAGAGACAGCCAAGCTTGAACACATTAAAAGCACTAACCCTTCTAAGAGGTCCTTAAAACTTTATGCTAGATTTCCAAGCGATGAGATCCAATTTTTTAAGACTCTTCTAGATTTCTGTCTTGGCAACTTTTCATGCATATGAAGTAGGCTATTATAATAAACCAGTCCATCATAAGCTTTTTTTTTTTAAAAGCCACTTAAGTAAAAAAATTGAACCAGAAGATGAAAACCACTAGACAGCATCCTGTAAATATCATAGAATGCTTGCACACAGCAAATAAACATTTCTTTCACAAAAGAATTCAAAAAACTTAAAATCACTGGAGTTATTTTACAAGCCTCTTGATGTAGGTTACTGGTTACTGACTTGGCTGTCCTGTTTGCCTGTATGATCATCTATCTGCTGACTTCTCATTTGTTTTCTACATATTTTGATATCGTTGACATATGTAGCAGCTCTGAGGTTTCATCTCAATGAGATTTGGTGTTAAAAATTAGGCTGCACTAAGCACCTGGAATTTGTCTCTCTTTCCACCATCACTAACTGATACCTGCCCCCATAAAGGCAGCATATGCCTCAATCAATTAGCAACATCACTGTGCCAACCAAATCTTTGCCTGCCACTGGAAAATGACCTATTTAAGAGAAGGATGCCAGAGACAAATGATCAACATGAACTTGTAGGCCATCCAACTTCTCAGCAATTCAATTTTTCAGAGCTGCTGCAGCAGTTCTCCTTTGCTATCCATTTTCAATTCTTGCATTTTGGAAGAATTAAAGATTGTCTCAGCCCCCACCTCCACCCCACCCCACAAAACCCATCAACAACAACATGCTTTTAAGAAGAATACAATTTAGGAAATTTACCATGCCATAGTTTACCTGCTGGAGAGCACTGGGAGACTGTGCAGTGTTGTAGAAATTGCTCTGGCCAGGCTGTTGAACTTGCCCAGAGTACAGATTTGAAGCCTGAGTGAGCGTAGCTCTGGCCTAAGAAGAGCGAGAGACACCATTACATCAAGATACTTAGGAGAGCAGTTCTGAGACAGCATGGCACATCATTCTGTATTTCAACGAGTACAGTAGAAACCACAGCATAGGAAGCTGACAACCTGAAGGTTTCAGCTTGTGATAAAGCTCTCATTTGCAAGTGGTAGAATAGCCCTTTATCACCTACCATAACAGAAATTAAACCTGAAGCTCCAATTAGTGACAGAAATGCAAGGAGCCCTGTAGTTTGGGGAACAATCCTCAATTCAGAGATTATGCTAATGTACCTTTATGAAATTAAAAGAACATTCTCTTCCAAGCATCTTAAGTTTCCTGCCACCTTGACTATCATGTAATTATCACAGAGGTGGGCTTATCCCAAGCTGAGCAATACTTGATTTATTATTGCATTATCTGTATCAAACCATTGCAGAAGTTTTGCATTTTGGAGCATTTCCTACCTGGAGAATGTGTGTATCAATAAGCTGAGAGCCTCCCAGTCCTGAAGCTTGACTAAGTTGATGTTCATATAAGATAGGAATAGGTTGTGTATTAGAAGTCTGTTGAAATGCCAGGCTTGACTGTGCCTTAGCAAGCTCCTGGTGTTGTACTGCTGGGAAGTTGTGTAAGGCCGTACCAGACAGAACTACTGGTGATGGCTGAGACAAACCACTTTGCATAAAAGCTTGCTGGGATCTGCAAGAGATTCAAGCATTATACATAAAAATGCAGACAGAGCTCAACAATGAGCCACCAAAAATTAACAACACAGGTTATATTCTTTAAATGGAATTAGAATGCTTAGTTCTACCAAACAGATTTTCACCTAAGAAAGGTAGATTTTTCTATTTACTCTGCAGACAACAAAATAACAGATGCTACTAAAGGCCACAAGAGAAAATGACTAGGCTTTTTATTTACATCTTAAAGTACACCTAGCTATTTAGATGTGTGTGCTAAAATAGTTCTTGCATAACTTAACTGTAACATACAGAAGCTACCAGTTCTTAGTTCCTGTGCTATAAGGTAGGACAGTGGGGAAGCACCACATGTGAGTAGTTACACTTAGTCGTAGAGTAAACTGCTTTGTTCTCTTGACTTCACAGATCTCCACAGTCGAACTTTTAATACTTACAGGTTAAATCACTGGATGCTGACAATTGTAGCTTCCAAATGCATGTTTTGGCTTCAAAATAGTAACACAGGCAGACACCACAGCCTTTAATTTTAACTAGATATTCAGTTCCCTTGTCACCAGCACGGGGAAGTTGCAGTTTGTTTAAAAAACAAAGACCAAAAACAGTGCAACAAAGCACCACACAAAGGTTTAATCCATCAGAAGTATTTATCCAAACATTTCCATTAAGAGCCTGCTGAATAGCCACCTTCAGACTGAAGAGTCAGAGTTTTTAAATAAATGCCCCTCTCAAAGCTCTTCAGCTCAGAGGACAGTGTTTCTGATACAAAAACACTTTTCACTTTTTCACTTGGTTGATATGTACCAGCATAGCACTGGTCCTGTTAATCTGTCAGCATAGTGGCCATATGCTTGCCTGACAGAACACCCGGGTTAGCTTTGTTCTGTACCTTTCCCTAATTGCAAAACATTCTTACAGTTGCACTCTGAGCACTGGAGAAACTTTTCCAGAATGTATGCAGAGGACTGTCTTCAATGTAGCCAAAAACATTTTCACAAGCTTTTTTTTGTTGTTGTTTTTTAAACCAGTAACCTGTACATCTCAAAGCTTATCCTCCTCTGCACCTTTAAAGATGTGGGAAAAGCATTCATACTCTTATAAATAGCACAACCAAAAACTCCATTAATACTGGGTTTGTGCGTGACCAGATCAGCCAGAAGCATTTATTTAATCTGGACTGCACGCCAGACTGTTTGTGTTTTTGCAACTAGCCAACTGTTTGCAACAACTTTTGTCAGCTGTGTCAGGACCAGCAATATTTGCTCCAACAAAGTCAGCCAAGCACAAAGTCAGGATACACATGTAGTCAATTAAACCTTCTGTGGCTTCAGCTTTCTACATTGCAACAAGCAGGTTTTTCTACAGCACATGCAAAACCCTGTAATTAAATTTCCAGAGAAGCTTTCTCAAAGTAAAGCTAAAAACTTGTCAGAATTACACCACTGTGAATCAGTTTTTATAGGAACTGCAAAGAAGCTTTGGAAAGGCTTATAGTGGAAGTTTGTCTGGCTATCAATGCCATTTGAGACATACTGGTCTTCCTATTATCTTGTAGCAAACAGAAAATATTTATTCTAAAACATACCCCTCTATCCCCTACGCATCTGAAATTAAGTTCCTGCCACCTATGGGGCTCAAACTAGGATTTCAAAGTGTTTCAAGACTCCAATGTTGGTTTGATTAGAAGATAACAAACACAAATTACTGAATTAAAGGGACAGACTCCTCTTTTTCTGTTCTCTTAGTTTGAAAGACTGATGTTTTCAGCTTTTTAGCCTTGTTTCCTAAAGATACAAATATCATGCATAATTTTGAAGCCACTATTTCACAACTACATCTGCACGTGCAGACTAGCCAGACAATCCACATACAGAGTTCTCAGCCAAACGGACAAAAGAGATTTGGGGGAAGACAGGAAGATGAGGCAGCTATTGAGCACAGAACACAAGTCTGCAGGAAAGCAAGTTCTAGAAATTCTACCACTCAAAGAACAAAGAAATTTGCAAATGCTACCTACCTATAAGGTTGTAAGGAGGAGTTGAACAGCTCCTGGGCTTGTGAAACAGCTGGTGCTGCTCCTAAACTCAGCTGAGCTTGATGCTGTCCTTGCAGAGGTGCATAGATGGGGATGGGGATCTGCTGAACTGAAGCAGGCTGCATAAAAAAAGAAACCATTAAATATCCAAGGACAAAAGTCACATAGAAAAGCTACAGTGTGTGCCAGGATTTGTGTAACAGTATAAAAAGTAAACAAAGAATGTCAAATCTCAAGGCTGCATGCAGACCTGGTATTGCTCCCATTCAGAAAATTACTTTCTAGTTGAATTTTACACTTTTCCTTGCAAACAATGAGCAGAGACTGAATGAATCATTTAGATTTGCATACAAAACAACTGCCCGAGATTGCATACAATTTTCTACTACAAAAGTTGAATAAACCTGCACTAACATGGCCACACAAACACCTCCCATGAATATGTACTTTTACATAAAGTATATTTGTGAGTGAAAGCTTATTCTCTCAACTTTCATGACAAACGCTTTAATTCTCAGGAACAGTAGAGATCAAACACTCTATGCCTGCACCAGAAGGAAATAGCAAAGGCAGGCATGACCTCATTTTTGCAAAGTCTTTAGTCCCCTCTCCCCTGCCCCATTAGCTCATTAGTAGAGCTTTAAAGGCAATATAGACAAGGAGGGGAAAAGAAAGAAAAAAAGAAATCCCCAAATACCTGAGAAAGCCCTGGTTGAAAGCCTTGCTGTTGGGCCAGAGAAGGTGGTGCCAAGCGCGCATGTTGGGTATTGAATAGATGACTTGTATCCATATAAAATGCTGGGATTTGAGCTGCAGTACCTCAGGAAAAGCAATACAATTAGTACCTGATTCCAAACATCTCCCTGCTAGAAAGGTTTTCATCAAGAGTTAGAGATGCAGCCACTGTCAGTACTTCCCAGTGTGACAGCTACCAGACAGACTGGGAGAAGAAACAACTGAAAAGCTGGGTGTCTAACCAGCTTGGTATCTTCCAATTCATCCCCAGAATCTATCAGTCTTGCATATGCATCTCCAGTCCCACGCAATTCTTGGGGGACAAGCAACAGATTCTGGCCAAAACGGGTGTTTGAGTGAAGGAAGGGGAAGAACATATCATGCAATTTCAGTTAACTATATGTAGGGTTTTCTTTAGAGAAAAATGCCATGATTCTAAACTATTATAGCACTTCAAGAAAGAAGTCAAGACTTAGTCATTCTTGGTCTTAAATAGTGATTTACAATTCTGCAACAGAAAAATGGTACATCAAGAGATTCAGACTTACTTCCCTCAACCAACTAACACCACAGTATTATCTTTATACTTACTGACAGAAACTTGCATATTTAGACACAATTAGGGAATATTTGCTTACAGAATGCTCTCCGTCATTCTGTCTTTACTGCAGACAAAATCAAAACTGAATTCAACTCTCCAGCTTCAGAACTCCAAAAAAGCAGACACGTGGCTTCTCAGCCACAAACACTATTACCTGCTGCAGACTGAGACACATAGACCTGGGGACTTTGCTGTTGCTGGGCAATGAGAGATGGCATGCAGCTCAGCTGGGAAAAGTGACTGGCAGAAGCTAGGCTGCTTGTCTGCAACTGCTGTGGTTTCACTTTACATATATTAGGAGGGTCTGAGGTGCTTGCAGTCTTCGTACTCAGTGAAGAGGTTGTGTATGTTCCAGCTCCTAGAAGGAGAGAAGCAAGTCATACATCATAAAACAGCTAAAGATATTTCAAAGCCTCATCTTTCAGTGGTCAAAGTTTTGGGACAGCTATGCAAGCACAGCCACAACTGGTTAAGAACACTGAAACCTAACGCAGCTGTTTCCATCAACATAAGATGAACAGGGATGACAACTCTGTTAAGTTCACTATAGGAAGCACTGCAACCATAATACATCTCCCTTCTCAAGTACAGAAGCATATAAAAATACTGAAGTAGACATCTTGGTTAGTTATGCCACAAAATATTGCAATGTATGGTGGTTGTGCCTCTCATGGTTGAGAGCCGGCCTCCAAAGAAAGGTCTTTTTCAAGCACTTCAGCTCAGATTTGGCATACATTCTAATATTCCAAGGTGTGAAGATTTAATCAGATATAGCATCTTTTGTTTGCGGCAAAGAACCAAGGTGGAAACCAGCACTGTTTCTGAAGAGCAGCTGGACATTTGTGCTGCCTAGCGTGAGGGGGTCTTGGTATGAGCTGTTGAAGCTTTGACTCCAAAAGCAAGAGCACAAATGAAAGTAAGACTGCAACTAGCTGGATATCAGAACCACCACCTGCTCCAAAATCTACTTGCTTGCCTTCATTCAGCTGAACAAAATGAACCAATAAGGCAGCCAACAGAAGTTTACCTCCTCTTTCAAGTCCATATAAATAGCATAGGCAGAGAGGTGTCATCTTAATATTCTTTTCAGCTGACTGAAGTGAAACAGGTGAAGTATCTCCTCATTAATTAAGAGGTTATTTGGGAAGCTGCTGATCAGATCCAACATTTCATACTAGCATAAAACTTCTGTTGGCTTTGCATCAAACAGAATTCCAAAAGGAATCTAATCTCTTGAAAAACATAACCAAGGAGCAATACAACAGGCTGCTACAATCTTGACATCTGGTACCTGATAGTGAAGTTGTTGGTGTAACCGAGGCCACAGGAATAGGAGGCATTGATGCACTAGAGAAAGAGCTGTAAGTACCACTGCTTGGCCCAGTGTTGCTGCTGCTGCTGCTACTGCCACCAGCAATGGGAGATGCTGCTGAGGTCACTGGCGAACTCTTCTCCCCCATGTTTGGGGAATTCTCCCATGCTTTGCGTGCAGACTCCATCTATTTAAAAGAAAACAAAATTTCCTCATCTATTAGGAAGTTTAAACTAGTCAAACAGTCTTCCTCTCTTAACAGTTCTTTTTAGTTCAAAAGGCAATTCAGGCTTCATGCGAGCCTCTTTTAAAAAAGTCACCATAATCGTGCAACTCTGTTCATGCAAAAAGCATACAGCCTTAAGTTGGAGCTTCTTATCTGTTCCAACTGCACACGTGCATATTTCATCATCTTAACATTCAACGCTCAAAAGAATTCACTCACACTAATTTGGCTTGGCTTTTTTTGACATGAAGAGCAAAAGACACAGTGAGCAAAAGAAAGGTAAAAAACCCTCTAAATATTTCCATGAAGTCCTTTACTTACAAGTTATCAGGCCATTTAAATGAAACAGCCCCTTGCTTTCTTGGTAAATCATCCACTCTGCGTGACCACCAAAATATTTAATGCACACTTCAGCAAACACGAGTGTCGTCAAGTTTAGATTTCCAAAGCAAGTGCTGTTCAAGAAGCAATCACGAGCTGACACAGCTTGTGCACACTGCTTTACATTAATGCTAAAAATGCTTCATGCTCCTCTATTTCTATAGTAATTGTAAGTTTAAGTCTTGCACAGCAAGGAAGATGAAACTTTAATTTAAATATTTTATACATTCCTTTCCACCAAAAGTGGAAAGAACTATTGTTTTACTGCACCCAATAACAATCTAATTATTGCTACATTAGACACGCAATGCCAAATCTTTGAACTGAGACACTTTTGAGGGACTATTGAAAAGGAAAAATTAATGTTCAGACTACACCCACTAATTTAAAGGCTCAAACACAGTCCACGGGCTTCTCTACAAACTTCAGCTGTCCTCAGTTGAAACAAAGATTTTGCTAGCAGAGCTGGATGCCATAGGCTGAAATTGCTCATCTGGCAGACTGTAAGCTTCTCAAGGCCAGGTGCCATCTTTAATGATCTATGTAAAGGGGCAAATACATATTCACCAACAAATCCGACCTCACTGTCTGGATCAATAGAGCCCCCTAACTGGGACTTGCAGTCTCTGGAAGTCATACTTTCAACCTATCCTGTTTTACATGAGTTAGGCACAGTCTGGACAGACCAAACATGGCTTAGATTATTTGTCTAGATGCTTCAGAAGTGATAAAAAAGCAAAGCAACATCCAAAGAAGCGGGTTACAGGTGATCAATACACACACACCTGGAAAGTGGAGTTCTGTGTTCCTCAAAAGAGTAAAGGGGGAGGAGGGAAACTTTGTTACACAAAATGATTTGGAGGTAAGTCACCTATTTTCCTTTCTGAGACCATGTTCCCCAGCAATCATTCTCAGCTTCCCCTCCACAACATTTTCCTCCAAATTGGTTCCGATTCTTGCAGACAGGGCAAACTTCAAAATTTATTATTAATCTGCTGGAAAGGATTTTGCTTAAGGTGGACTACAGGTAAGACTAGAGGCTCCTTTCTGAACACCACAGGCCCTGGTAAGACAGAATAACAGTCTTGTACTGCACCGGTATTAAGTGAAGAAGTACCTGTGAATGTCTGAATCAAGAAGGTGTAGAAGCTTCATTCACTGAGTTTCACGATGTCCTGGAGAAACTATTGATAACAAAAGCTAGAGTCTACATACTGCATTTTGTCTTCCAAACCTAACCACTGCCAAGATCCCAGATCATCCCACACCCCTACCAATTTGCAATAAAGGGCATATAACAGAGTCCTGTGTTTTCTAACAGCTTTGCTTTTAGAGAGCTCCTTAACAATCTCTAACTTCTTCAGCCAAACAAAAAGATGCAGAACAGACTGGTACTCTAGGAGCACCTACGCAGCACCATCTACAGACCAGATATGAACGAGTAAGAGGCTCCAAATTAAATGAGGCTGGGGAAAGCGCTGTAACTTCACTGCTTGCTTAGTTATGGGAAAAGGAGAGCACAAGTTGGAGGTCATGGTTGCTTGAGGCTTCTTTTCACTGTTGACCCATTGGGGCCTTCACATTGCAATAATGGTCCAGTACATATTACCCAAAAACTTAACTGGAGACAAGTATCAATGTGCATAACCTTAAGTATGCCAAAGTTTAAGTGATCAGAAAAAGAAAGTCGACATGTGTCAGATTCTGGACCAGATGCCTGCACAGGAATTTTAGATGGAACCTCGGAACATGGAAGAGGGCCAGGCAGCTTAGTTTAAGATTGCTTTGGACTTCCTTTTGCTGAGCTCCTTACCTACCAACAGCCCTATCAGCTAAGTCCTTAAGAGGATGTCTGCCTTACTAAAGGTATCTTTAGCAAAGTTACTCCAAGGAAACATGAGATCTTAACAAGCCTTCCCATATGAACACTTTATACCACCCTGGCAGAATGATGCCAAGTAATGGGAGCAATTGTGGCTGAGTTCCCCTGCCGAGTTTCCTCACAGACAGCTTTCTGTGATAGGGGATGGAGGAAATAGGAGACGTAAGGATTATTCCTTTATGGAGGCAGAGCCTGGAGATTTTGTTCTTTTAAGGGAAGAAAGGAAATGCTTTCTCCTCTGCTGCTCCAAAAGTATCTTTTAGAAGAAGCAAGGATTATATTGAAGAGGATGACAAAGAGCAGCTCTGCTCTGTCTGGTCCAGAAGGCCTGTTGTGAAAATGATAGTCTCAGCGCGTGCTTCAAAACAAGCTTGTTGCCTTCAGCATTTGCAAAAAGGAGGTAGAGCTCCAGTGGCTGGAATACAGAAATTAGAGACAAAGCTGCATCCAAATGCCTTTCCATTTAGATTTTGGTCAGAGTGTTCTTCAAGGTAGCCTCAAAACATGGATCTTCAACATATTTTGGTAGCACACAAGATCCAAGATCTATCATCCACTGAGAAAGCAATCAAATCAACTGACAGCAGAACAGCAGAAAAAGAAACTGCAGGATGAATGACACAAACACCGCAGTTTGCTCTATAACTTAGCAGTGTCACATTCTTTGCAGCATCACGCTGTAGTAACATTCCTACCTGTATTACATGTGAATCGGATATCCAGCTGCTAAACAGAGACTGCTATTTCAGAAAAATGCTTTCAGGCGCCAGAAAGTCAGATTATGGTAACTTATTATACAAGAATGCAATAGAAAACCAGAATTTTGTTAAATTACTTGTCCCTCTCCAGCCCTCTCCCCATTTTTGCTGGTCTATTGTTTTAAAGTGATGTTACGTTTTTTTCAGGAAATAAAGTGTTAACAAAAGAAAAGCAAAGATTCAACAAGAGATCATTAATAACTATGATTTGTAGAGAACATGAGCAAGCAGCTGTCAAACCATGCCAGCGAGATGCAAGTCTCACTGGGACTGACAAGCAAGTTTCTCCAAAGTGTTAGTTCTGCATCCAATCCCTAGTTTCATTTCTTCTTTTAAAAATTTAGAGAAACTAAGTTCAAACATCACTCTTCCTTCATACTAGAAGCAGCAACAGTATTTCTACTGGTTCAGTCACCTGCAGTCACAATCACAAAGCCGATCTAGGACACCAAAAAAAAAAAAGACCAAAAACTTCTAAAGATACAGTAGCAAAGCTAGAGCCCAACTCTATGTTAGTGAGTTATACAATGCACACAGTCCAAAATCCAACAAAATGGGAAAACACCATTCAAAATATTCTACACACTTGCTCTACACTGGAGAGCAGAAAACAACAGAACATTTATAACACAACAAAACACGTTCTGACTAGCTGATCAAACTGCCCTTCATAGACACCAACACACCACCTACATTTAATTATTTAGAACTTTAGCCATCCAACTCAAAACCACATTATCACTGCACCAAAATCTTACAGCTAAGAAGAAATCAAGCTCGGCTTACCAAGCAACTCCTTACAGCCTTTAATACCAAACCAGGCAACTTACTTTAAGCTAAACTCTCAAAAAACCTCAGTCAGATTCTGATGGTTTGTCATGAACACTATGGTACAATGCTAAAATGCTAGGATCTTTTTTTTTTCAGGGCAGTGGGAGCCAAGATCGGTTGAGATGCCAAGTGTTAATGCAAAACGGGGTTAGAGATTTATAATTTAAATGCATCCTTTGATAGAGTCTTGTGTTTCAGCCATCCGTTTTTATGCAAAAGCAGTTCAGCAGAGGAAACAAAGGAAGGCTCTAAAAAAAAGGTTCACCAGCAAGTTCTCCATTAACTTTTTCCCCTGCATGCAAGAAAACGACCCTTAGAGGGATGTGGTACATACCTTGAGGGTGAGGTCGACGGTAGCGGGAGAAACTGGAGTTAGGCTGGAGCTCTGTTGTAGAGTCTCCCTCCTAGGGAGGGGAAGGGTGTGGGGCAGGGGCACCTGAAAGGCAGGCAACACACATCACATTCTAACTACGTCTACTACAAAAGCCCCAAAAAAGCAAAGCTCAAGCTTTATTAAGTGAGCTACAATTTCTTCAAGGCTTGAGCATTTGGCAGGGAGATTTTGATAAAATAAGGTGAAAATTTGGTAAGCGGGGAAAGGCCATTCAGCAGGTGCTGAGATGCTTCTCATCTCTCTTTAAGAGGCTGATGACTAAGGTTCTGAAGTGTCCATGTCTCCTGCATAAACAAATACCAATTTTCTGCTTTGGGATTTACTTTAAAGTACCATTTCAGTTTACTGATATGCAAAAATTCTTCCCAAGCCAAGTTTGGCCCCTTTTGTACCAATACGGTACATAGGGCCTTCATGACCTAGAGTTCTGAGATGCAGTTTCTGAAAAGAGGAAGCTATAAACCTCCAAAGTCACCAGACCATGAAACAAACCAAAACAGATTTGCCATCCAATAACTGAATTCAGTTATCTTGTCTTCCAAAAGATGAAAGATGTGAAACTTAAGGAAATAAACGTGACATAATGCTATTGCTATCTTTGCCTAAGAAAACACTGATGGATTTCCTGGAAGTTTAAAATGAAATATATCAAAAATACTCCAGTGGCCAGTCTATTACTTCTGACCATTTCCTTCTCCATTCAGAGCACAGCTAATGGACTTCCACTGGATGAGGTAAGGCTAATCCAAAAGACAGAGATACCGAAGCTTTGAAGCAGGTGATAGCACAGATCCTTTGTGGCCAGGAGCCCCCATTTCCTGTGTTGCAAATCCAACTCCAACACCCCACAGGGGAGCATACACTAATATCATTAACACAAAAGAGTTCAGTCTTCCACACTAATCACCAAAGGCACAACCACAACACCACCAGAAAATCCAGCAGAAGAGTAAGTTCAACCGGTATTGCTTCAAAACTGCATTAAAGGATGCCACAGTAAGCTGAAAAGCATTTCTTAGATGGAATTCACAAGACATCTTCATAAAAACCCGAGATCCTACTGTATGATTCTTTCCTCTCACAATCAACAAGTGACTCAACTCTGAGCTAATTCTATTTCTGCTACTCAAACAACAAAAATCACAAGATACAAGTTCCCAACCTGACATCCCAGCACACTCAAGACAAACTTGACTTTGCTACAAGTCACAACCCGGCTGGTCCTCTCAATCGCTACACCACGCTCACACAGTCAGGATCATTGGCTTTGAGGACTGCATACATCTAATCTCCGTAGCAAATGAACAACTGAAAGCCTGCTGTCTGCTTTCAGAAACCATTAAGCTGCTCCCTTCACATGCAGTTGCTGTGATTTCAGTTCAAAATTGCTTTGTTTGTAAAAGCCTTTCTTCAAAATTGCCTACAGAGCTCTGCTGCTGGTACCAGGTTCAAGTCCCAACTGCTGCCGAGAGCATGCTCTCTCCTTACGCCTATCCTGGCTTTTTTAGAATTGCCCCCAGAAACATCTTCTCCACTTTCTGTGCTCTTTAGCTCATCGTGGTTGTTCAAAAGACAAGAAAATACATGATGAATTCCAGAACAGATACTAATCAAACCGACTGTCCTTCCGAGCAAGATTACTGGACAATGCACAGCTAGATAACATGAAAGAAACCCTAGTGACTTGTTTACTGAAGGCACTATTTTGTGCTTTAAAGAAGTGCGAAAATATTTTCTTGTCTTCAAAGTCAAGACGATCACTCCAATAGACTTACGTTCGTCACCAAAGTCTCCTCCATTTTTGTACTGCTAGTAGCCACTGTGTTAGGATGAGAAGAAGGTGTAGTGTAGTCTGTTACAGACTCCTGTGAAGAAAAATAATTCCATTAAAATATCTCCCTTATCTAAATTAGATTTTAAGTTTCTTGGACAGATGTCAGCCTTTCTACAGGAAGAGTTCACCAATCAGCAGAAGTTAAGAATTTCACACCAGTTTTTTCTTAGAAGACACGTCCAGCAGTCCTTGCTTCTGAATTGCTACTGAGGTCAGAAGAATTCTTGGGAGATTACAGTTTGCCTCATGACCTCACAACGTACATCTGGAGACAAGTCAAAATACAGTCTGTAAAGCAAGAATATACAGTGATGTACTGCCTGGGCACTAGACACATTGAACTGTAGTGGCATTACATCATTTGTCACCCAAGATGCTTTAGCCACCTGTGGGCACTTTTAGCCTATTTAAAAAGTAAAATATATTAGCTGAAAGCTTTCTGTAGCTTTAAATAAATCCAGAAATTTCTTGGATAAACCTATGATAAGGCCCTCCAGACTGAAAAGAACACATAGGGATGGTTGCAATTTGCAAAACAATTTTCTTTCCTTTAAGTCCTGCCTCTGAAAGTCACAAGACTCAGTTTCTCTGGATGATGAAGTCTACCTCCTGATTTCTGCACTGGGTAGTGACTTCAAGGAAGAAAAGGGCTGAAGTTTCCAGTCTACCCAGAGGCTTTCCTTGAAGCTTATTTGTCACAGTTAGGTGGACCTTAATGTGCTCAATGAACAAGGTCCACTTTCATGGACCTAGCTGTAGCCCATGGTTATTGCAGTTGTAGGTATAAACTGCCTGATGAAAGTGTCTCATTGATAACACTGCCAGCTCTCTCGAGAATGGCCTACAATGAACAAAAAAGGCACTGGTACTTCTGTGAAGCCATGTTGAGCACTGTTTTTTAGCTCTTGTCACTAGGTATCTACTGAGCGTATTCTGGACAGGTAAACAGGTGTTATCAGAACCTGACCCACAGATTTTGTTAGATAAACGGTGTGACCCTGAATTAACCAAGATCCACTCTCTAGCAAGCACTGCCAACTCCAAAGTTTTGCATGACTGAAGCCCAGAAAAGGCTCTATCATTTTTACAGGGCCAAACACCAAGAAGGAGCTGAAGGACAAATTAGCAGCAGGACTGCTGATGAGTGCCTGGACTTGCCAACACAAAATGATTTTGAAGGCACAAAGCACATAATGCTTGTTTAATTGCATCCAACCAGTATGCTGATGATAAGCTATTAAAAAAGTGCACACTCAATTTACTCCTCAAGCCTATGGCAATATCTCCTAAAAGAGCAATTAAAGCATCAAGATACTAACTGGCAAATAACAAAGAATCTTCCTTAAAACGATGAGCTCATTTTGGTAAAAGACTAGGACAAGCTAAACCATAATGGGGTGAAAAAGGACACAATGTGCACATTGACTTATTTTTGCATTTACGAAGGAAAACAGAACTATTTTCTCCATTTAGTTACTTCCTTTACTTGTTAAACTGGTGAAATACGAGATATACGATGTATACATGCAATGCTGAATCACCCTACAAGGATGAGTTACCTGCTGAATATGCAGATAAGACAATGCTTTAGCCATAAGAACACCACTCCATAAACTGTAGGTTTACCACCATCCTTCATTTACTGGTACAATAAGTCTAGGAATCTGTTAGATATGGCTTATCACCATAAGCTTTTGTAATTCAATTAAAGTGATTCTCCTGTACAACTGTTTTACTGAAGAAACCGATTACTTTATTATAAACTAGTAACAGTAATAACAGCAAAAGCAAAAAGCTGTACATGCTTTTTTGGAGTTATCTACAAGTTATTTGTATCTGAAGAAAAAGAACAGGCAAACTTTTTGTAACTACATACTTTGCCCAAAAAGAGATCACAAAACCTGAAGTGACTTTATGAACAAAAGGGTAAGGCAGACCTCAGAGCTGACCTTGCTATAAAGGATCAGGGTACTATCTGGGATTAATTAGCTATTTGATTTGTTCCTGATTTACGTAAATCACCCAAACCAGAGAGCTTGTCAGATACTCAAAATTTATTCTCAAGTACAGCCTGTGTCCTTCTAGACATTACCTCTGTAAGACTTAGCTGTTATCAACTACCTGTGCAAACATTTCATTGTCATGTCCACAACCAGGTATTGATCGTTCTTGTGATTTGAAAGCTTCAAAAATTTAGAGATGGTAGGGTGGGGAAAGGCAAGGGGTAAGGTATTTTACCCGATTCAGACACTTACACATCAAATTGCCTTTACTCCAAAAATACTGCAAAACCTAAGAGAAACAGCTGCAACTGCTTCGGAGCATCATGCTTATGTTCTAAACTTAAACATCTCACCAGTATGAGTTGGTGTATATTTATACAGTTTCTAAGGTAAAACAGTATTGTACGATGAAATGCACATGCTCTAAGGTGTTTGTTTTGGGATGGATGGGGTACTCTTACAAAGCTTCTGAAGGAGGACAGCTGGCTTGACTTTCACAGACGTTGAAATCCCCAAATACACTAAAGCAAGTGTGCCTTCCTGGAAGCTGAGCAGTAGTCTCCGAGAAGGATGTTAGAGCGTGTCAAAAGAGAAATCATTCAGGTTTGCTAAAACTTCAACACTTGATGTTGAAACAACAGATTAAAGACGTCATCACTTCTTCCCTCATTAATAAGCAATGGAAAGAGTACAAAGACAAGAGAAAGCAGCTGCAATACAGTTCAGTCCAGGAATTCCAAGGCCGGAGCAGTATTTGAACCCATTTTAAAAGCCACTTTAAAAAGTAACAAGACTGGTTTATTCCTGCAAAATCTAGATGAAGCTTATCTTATCCAATAAATCTGCAGCTTGTTGATTCAGCTTCCTTAGAATTAAATATAAAATATGACCACCCCTTTCCTAGAAAAAACTTACTGATGCCCCGGGAACTACTCATGACAAAGGAATTCAAAAGCCAACCTGGAACTGTTGAGACAGCAATGTTTAGGCCTATTATTAAATGCTTCTATTAGCAACTATTTCATGAGGAAATTATTGAGAATTTTCATATCCAGCACAAAATGGAAAGCTTCCTTTCACTCTGATCTTCCCTCCAGAAGACAGAAGCTTGGCGCTTTAATACTGTGGTGGTTCAAAGAACCTTGGCAACCCATGTTTAACTCAGGCCAGAAAAGCATAAAATCCAGACTTCCCTTTTGAAGATCTCATACTTAAAAAATACAATTGTAGAGGGGAAATTATGCTGATTTTAGTAGAGCTACTCTGTATCGAGTTAGCCTGGAGTAATCAACAAAGCTATGTTTCCTATTCTTTATGTGGCTTAGAAGCATCTCCTCCTCTTATCTTGAGCTCTGATCACAGGAGCTTGAAAGACAGTGAGAAAGCACATGACACATACAAAAAGCCTTCTTACCAAATACTTGAGCAAGATGGTGTTTACAGCTCTACACTTCTGATTCTGCATACAAGAAGGGCAGTTTATCCGTTTCTGGTATCAACATAAACCATTCACATCTACTTACAAGATGGAAAGTGCCAGGAAGGATGAGAAATCCCAGCACTGAATTTTCTTACATATTTGCCATTCCACTCAAAGATCAAGTTTGCAACTACCATGTCAGACACAAATATCCTCCTTAACACTTGCTCTGTAACAACACTTCATTGAGATAGCATCTTCTGCTTGCATGACACTTGGCAAAGAACTGCCCAAATTGTCTTTTTTTTTTTGCCAACTGCAGGTGACAAAGAAATTGTGAGTGATCTGTATTTCAGATTCTCCAACTATTAATGCAACTTTTGCAGAGGATCAGTTTTCCTAAATGGCATCAGAAAATTTCTGCTTAAGACTAGGAAAAGGAAGATTGAGACAGCATGCAACAAACTTGAGTCTAAACTCACAAAACTGCTTTACAAACACACAAGCAGCATTTGTCCTTTACCAAAGCAGGTGTAACTTCACTAGTAGCTACTCAAACTGCATGGTTTCTTTACGTTCGAGAGATGACAACCATAGTTCTTGCTCAAGACACAATGCTGCCATAGTGAGAGCAGTCCCCACACAGGTCCTTAGGCAAAAAGGATAGTGCTTCTGCAGATGTTCTTCAGCCAGTGCTATCAATGCACCACAGCTAAGAACTGAGCTATAGAACAATGAATCCCGACAGCAAGTCACCATCTCACTGTTGAGCAGTTACAGAGAAGTCAGGGGAGTTCCACACAGACAACATCCTGAAGGAGTTCTGCAAGGGATACCTTGACAATATCCAAGCCAACAGGAGCTGACATACAGACCCTTTAGGTAAACTGAACGAGCCTCATCCAATGCTTTAGCATATTCCTAGTTTAGAGATTTCTTTTTTCACAGAACAGCACTTAATTCACAGCTTCAGGTCATCCATGCACTCAACCAACCATCGCGCACACTACTACTCCAGTTCTCTGCTGAAAGTCAAGCACTCATCTTGCATATATCACATATATCTGAGTTTACAGAATCTGCCTATACCAGGCTCCAGTGTCACTCTCCGCAGCAAGGCTCAGGACAGACTTTTCACATTCATAAGGCAGCAAAAACGTTTAAAAGCTTCCAAGGTGATCTCTGTACAGGGGTATGACAAAAAATATGTCTCCATACCACTTCGGGAGAACTGTAGTTTCATATCTGCTAGTCAGTGGGCTCTGCTGTCCAGGTAACTACCACCAGCAGGCAACCATCATTGTAATCATATTTTACATCTAGTGCTCAGTAATCTGTCAATATTTTTCTTACCTTTGTGTTTGTTCCAAACTCCGGAGCAGACACAGATATCATTGTTCCTATTTCCGTGCTCAGTTCACTTGCTGCTTTGGTTTCCTTTGTAGTGACAGGTTCTGGACTTCTGACAGAGGTGGGAGATGGCTTCTCCTGTCCCTCAGGCTCTCCCTGTTGGGCATCCTTCACCTTCCTGTTCTTTAAAGAACGCTCTTTCCCAATAGGACCAGGTTTATACTCTTTGTTTTCTACCGGACTCAAGTCTGGAAGCTAAGTTAGTGTTAACTTGTCAGTTATGTCTTCCCCCCCATGTCCTATCCTACAAGAATATTCTAAACATGCTTAAAATGATTTTATTTAAATCTAACAAGGCTTTCCTGAAGGGTAAGCATTTTCTAACAGATAAATCATTTGAGACTAAATTAGCAATATGTACATGAAATGCATTAATTGTGAACACTAGGACTCTAAACCATTGTTTTCAAGCAGTACATGTTTTATGTGAAGTGGTAGAGTTCAACTAAAATAAGATATAGTTCAAACCTACAGAAGAAAGCCAGCTTGACTCTCCTTACAAGAAAAGCACAAGAAAGTATAGAAGTCACAAGATATCTTGATGTATGGATGTTGGCAGCATTTTTCCCTAGCAATTGAGCACTAGGGATATCCAGACAAAATAAAACACCTATGCGCAAGTGTTGCCTTATATTGCAGACACCATGGCTGGAATAACTGCTGCAATTCAGTAGTTCCTTTTAGTGCAGCTGAATTAAAGCAGAATGAAGGGCCTCAGGGAACCCAAATGCTCTGTTGTTTAAATAGCCATATACTTTCTGGCTGAGACTACTCAGCCCATTTCACTACAGAACAGCACAAAAATTCCTTAAAGGCAGTACTTAAAATCCTATTCTTTAAGCTTTGATAGTGGAAAGACAGAAGCTGCTGGTATTGTCTCTATAAATACAAACCAGCTGTTTCAGGAGTAGATGAAGACTCTTTACAATACAATGCCTTTGGGCTTTGGGGAGGGTGGAGTTTCCCAAAGGTATTTGGTCCCGCAGGAGGCCAGCAGAGACTAGCTTTCAGAGGGAAGGAAGAAAACAACAGTAGAAACAGAGCTCTGCAATGCAGCAGTCAGGAATATCAGACCCACCTCACCCCAAATATTTTTTGCTCTAAGAGTTTGCAGAGGCAGAAATTCCTCCAGATACTTTGAGGTCATACTTGGAAAGGTAAATTGCTTTGTTTCAAGTATGGTCCTCTTACATTGCCCATATTAGTCCAACAATACTAACCTCCAATCCTGAACATACGTTTGTATTTAGGCTTCATAGTAAACAATATCACCATGGGGGTGGCGGGTGTGTAGGAATTGTTTGTTTGTTGGGTTTTTTTTGTCATCAAGACAGTTAAAGGATTACAGCCTGCCCATTCAGAAGAGTGGACAAAAATGTTAATCTCCAATGAATTTACCATTTAGTCACACATTTGTCTTTCAACAAAATCTACAGGACTCTTGATAGCTATAACCAAGCAGAAAAAAGGAATTTTCTACACAGTGTAAAGTAGTCTGTCTCTCTATTTATTTATTTAACTTTGGAGCGCAGTATCTTTAAGTGATTTCACAGGGGCAGTTTTAGGCATGCTGCTAGTATATCTGAGATACGGGTTTTGAATGTGCTGGGTTACTACAATTCACCAGCAGTATTAACTACTGCATATTTCTCTGCTGTATGGGGTTTATATTTTGCAATAAAAACCAGCAACTGCAGCATACCCACTGAGTGCCTCATGTAGCAGAAGTTAAATTCATTCTACGTGTGACTGCACTTTCAGATTTCAGCTTTTTTTTGGGAAAAACCTCCAAAAGCAACCAACACAAACACACATCCCATCTTCTAGAAAGACAAAAGGGCTTTAATTACATCAGGACCACTGCCAAATCTCAGACATCAAGAAACAGCTCGTTCTGTAAGTCACCAGCCAAGTTTATCTGCTATAACCATCTCTTTCTGCGAGTAAGAAGCTGGTTCTGAGTGCTAGCGATGCACATGTAAGTATGCATTGGAGGTGGAAATAACAGGAAAGTTATTTCATTAACTTGAAAGATCACTAAGTGTAATCTAAACAACAGGAGGAGAAAGTATTACTCCTTATGAGTGGTAACAATGGAAATAAAAGATGATGATGATTGAATGGAGCCCCTAAATCTCTGGAGGGCAAGTGATACTCTTTTTTTTTTTTTTAAATTGAGATAAGTTTGATTACCCACCCAATCTTCCTAGATTAGTTGCAAAAAAAAAAATTATCCAGACATTTGTGCATTTGAATTTGAGACTTCAAATCAGTGGCTCTAACATTCCTCCCTTTCCAATTTTCCTGCAACTTGATGTATTACTCATCTTGGTAATCTGGCTACAAAACTAAGCAGGGCACCATGCATCATTTAGAGGGGGGCAAGGCAGGCATGGTGGCAGGAAGAACTACTGAAACTGGAGATATAGCCAGGGCAGAAACAGAATGCCTGCTTCAAAACAGCTCTCAAAGCCTGAGCGAAGTAAGCTCAAGAGAAAACCAAAAACTCCAAACTAGAAAACAAAAACAAAACAGTCTCCCAACAAAGCTATCGCAAATTCACAATCCCATCCCTGCTCTTAGCCACATCCCCTGCTCCAAACACAGAACCAATGGGCAAACTCTGCTGGGCTAGGATGTTGTTTACGTACACTTGCTTCCTGAACTGAATTCCCCCTCTTCTCTCCAAGACCAACTCGTTGATTGTTTTAGGAAATATAAAAAGGGGAATGCAATTTTTATAGGTCTAGTCCTAACCGAATGAGTATTTCATTATTTGTAATCTCTTTTTGGCTGAACTTCTTTAAGTTTAAAAGTTTGTACTGAAGATATGACCTTTTACCTTTTGTGCTTTGATGGGTCCAGCCCGAGGCTGTTTCTGTCTTTGCTCTTTCGGTTCTGGTAGCTTGTCAGTGGACTTCTCAGAAAGCACAGGGCCAACTTCATTGTCACTGCCACTGGAAGCTGGGGCTCCAAACTGAATAGTTTCTATACCAAGATCGACTCCACCTTCTTGCCCAGGCTTTGTCCCCTAGTTAAAAGGTAAACATTTAACACATTCCAAGAGATTTCTAGATCAGTACAATGCCACTGGTTGAGAAAAGAGCACAAAATATGCTCAGCTGAAAACCTCTAAAAGGGTACTTTTACTTTCTGCCAGCAAAAGCATTATTTGTGACTGCAACAGATTTGCAAGAGTAAACAATATATGAACATACACCTCCTCCTCCTCAAGTTCCTACTGTTTATACAAGCTCAAGAGTAAGGAGATAAAAAAAGCAGTGGAGAAATACGTAAACAAGATCAAGATGATGAACTGCTGGAGAAGGGGGAGAGGGACAAGTGCAATATCAAAATGTCCAGATTCAGGTTCACAACTTTCTCCTGAAAGTTCAAAAATTAATGTTCAATTCGAGAAGAACAGTAAGAAATTAAAAAATATTTCCAGATCTCCTTATGCAGTTAAAATGGTCTCCTAAGAGAGTTATGTCACATTCTTACAGTTTAACACAATCAACTCAAGACCAAGAAAGCCCAAGAAAACAAAATCACAGGACTTTAAATGTAAAATTTAGAGCTATGCAAATTACATGGGATAAGTAGAGCTAATATAGTTAGAAAGCATCTATTGCTTTTTGTATCTCTGATTTAAGGGACACAAAAAACATTTAGTTCCTTGGAGACATCCTGTTTCTGTCTACATTACTTAACTGTACGCAAGTGTTCACACGCAAACTAAGCAATATTTTTATTTAAAAACCGCACTGAATAACAGCTATCATTAGAATCTGTGAATGACTGAGATTTTATTAAGAGAACAGTTTTTCCATGCTGCAATCATAAAAGTACTGTATCCTGTGTTTCTGTACTATCTCCTGACTTCATGGAATTCTACACATACTAGTTTAAGTATGTGCACGCCTGAACAAATGAATGATCTGTACCCAACCCCAATGAGATATCATTTGGGTAAGCTTCATATACAGCTACTCTTCTTCCCTTCATTCTTACCTCTGGAGATGTAGCTGAACCAAAAGATGTCAAAGGCTTGTTCCAAGCACTGACTGAAGGTGGCTGAGGTGGGCTAATGGGTCCCACTGACAATTAAGAAAGAGAGAGTTTAAAAAAAACCCCAATGTTGCTAAATGCATTTGACTAAAGTTATCAATTGACTGAGAATTAAATTATAGACTTCTTGATTAAATAAGCTTTGATTAAGAAATTGTTAACCCATTCAGCAGTTAACAATATGCTACTGATTTAGCTGCTTTCAAGTGGGGCAATCATCATGTTTGGAAGCATGACCAAGCCCAACAAAACACAGATTCCTAAAGGGAGTGAGAGCTGCTCATTCCTACTGAATGAAGAACATGACAACACAGTAAAATACTGAGTAATATCATACTGCAAAAATCTCTCTTCTGAGATATTCATAGGTTACAACACTGCACTTGGGAATGCTGCCCTCTATTCCCTGTGCAAAATATATTTGCAGGTAGAAATGAGACATTAACACCGAGAGCTGGCAATCAGCATTCTCCAACTAGAACGCTTGCCCCCCACCCCAAATCCAAAAGACACCACTTACATTTTTTGGAGATGTCATTTAGAACTGCTGTAGGAGGCACCTTGTTTTCCCATAATTCAGTTCCTAGACCATTGTGAGCCTGGGTGTTCTGCAGAACTTTGCCTGACACTGTATATTCTGTGCTGGCTGTCCCTCCTGCAGCCTGGTTTTGCGGCTGAACAGAAGCCTGTGGTTGACCTGGAGTCTGCGTTGTACACGGAGGCTGTGCCTGAGCTTGTGCCTGAGCTTGTGCCTGCTGCGCAGCTGCGGCTGCTGCCTGTTGCTGCTGCTTTTTGGCAAATCTGGGTGGGAGCTTGGAATTCTGACCTCGGCCTTTTTCGCTTGATCCTTTTTTGGTCCAAACCTGTAAGCACAAGCCAATTTTATTCTTACAGCTGATAGTCTGTATGGACAACTAATTGTACATTGTGTAGCAGCACAAAGCAAACTGATTAACCCTGTCTTAAAGCAGTTTATTTTTTTAGGGGTATTTAACCACAGGAACAATGATTTCTCATCCATTTTCCTCCTGGAATCAACTGATATACAAGCAATAGTATAAATCTTTACCACAGGATGAAAAATGGTGTTTTCAGTTTGCCAGTTCCACCTGCCTGACAGTGCCCAATCAGGAAGTACAGAATCCTAAGATGACCAAGTGAAAATTAATTTCATTTACTAATTCTGAACAACTTAATATTAATACAACTATCTAGTTATATTTATAAGGTGAAAATATAGCTTCTTTGGAAGGAAGATTCTGCACACTTCACAACATTCCCAGTACTGCAGGGAGCTCTTTCCCATTATAAATGCTGGTCTTGTACCTGCACTGTTTGTTCTTCCTTCTTTCTGCGCTCTTCGTCTTGCAAGCGTTTTTGTTGCTTCTTAGACACCACTTCTGTGAAACCATCATCATTCAAGTTAGATTGGGAGTCTTCAACTACTGTCACTTCAGGGTGATCATCAATGATCACAACACCTATAGAAAAAGGAAAGGTATGGACGCTGCTGTCTTAACAGCTTCAGATGCAGCGCACCAAGCCAAAATCTGCTTTAGAGTGGAAGCCATTTCCCCACATACACAGATGGTGGCTCTGATTAAAGGTAAGCTGCTGCTTCAACTTGCTGTTGAGTTTGAAGACAAGGAGTTAATCTTTAAGAAGTGAAAAATTGGAGGTTCCTGTACAAGACTGTCCAGGAAATAAAAACTGAAACATAATAATGAACAGTCTTCCCGAATATTAGCTGTAAGCTTATCAGTGATATCCACTGCCTTTGCTTACGAAGGTTAAGCAAATTAACGTGTGGTGGAAAATGGTCTGAATGACAGAGTTAAGATCAGGTGATAGAACAAAATTGTTCTTATCTATACATAAAAACACACAATGAGATTTGCCACCTTTTAAAGGCAAACACATAGTTAATTAGACATGACAAAGGTACCAAAACTCAAGTACACAATTATTCTGGTGTTTTAAAAAAAAAAATCACCTTTCCTCTTTTTTAAGTTTTCAAACATCTAGCTCTATATGCAGCAAAGCTAGCAGGATTACAAATTCTTGTTAGCATATTATCAATACATACTTGCGTAATTATTAAGATCAAATTGAGACAAGGCATCCACTTTTTCCTTAGGCTTCTTTGCACCAGCCTTAGGTTCTTCTCTCTTTTTGCCACCTGCATCCTTGGTGCTCTTTTGTCCTGCAGCAGTAACACCTCCATCCTCCTGATGTAAAGAGTTGCTGTTGGCGGGATCAACACTAGGCACAGTTGCTGTCTGCTCTTCAAATGGCCTATATTAGAAAATATTTGAGAAAATTAATGACCAGCCACAGAGAACACTCAGAAAGGAGCTAACAATCTAATGCAGATCACATTATAAGGCTCCAAGTGTCTACTGTGCAACTTCTTAGTAGGCTCCAGACTTTTACTTTCAGCTCCTCAATGCTTAAGGAGCAGAAGGTTAACAGCAAAAGCTGTTTTGGGGACATATTGAACACTCTGCTGCCAAAAGGAATCACAGGAAAAAAAGCATAATTTTAAGGTCAACTCTGGCTTGGTCTATGTACTCCAGTAAAGCCTTCCATGGAAAAAATGGAACAGAAGCTTACAGTATCTAATGTGAGCAAATAAAAACAAGGTACAATATACTCGCTCCACAGGCTCACTTGCCAAAAGCTATCTGAAGCCCTAAGAATCAGATTTGCAGCATTCTGACGTTGCTGTGGAACCTGGAATACCCAACTTTTGCTTCAACATCACCTTTAAGTGACTAGCCAAAGAAACTCTTAAGAGTTTTAACTCAGAGGTAAGAACACCGATCACAAGTTTTTAAGCCCAGGCAAAACCTGAAGTTAGAATATAGCAACCTACAAGCACCAGGAGTCCTAGAGTACAGGGTAGGCATTCAATGAAGAAATGTCTGGTCCTGCCTCCCACTTATCAGACTACTGTGCACTGTGGCTACAAAACAGTGGGCAAACAGTAACATTAGATAATTACCAAGTTTCAATTAATTTTAGCCTATTGAGAAACAAAACTTAGTCTCAATGGCAAGCATTTCTCAACTTGCTCGACTATGTTAGGTGATCGATCTAAGAATACAAAAAGCCAAATGCAATGCAGCAATCTATGCACTAAACTGCAAAACTCGTCACATTAATATTTCAGCTTGCATCCAAATCTTGAGAAACACAGCTCGACTCTGAGAAACAGGACTGCAATTTTTATTTAATTAGGCTTTAACACTGTGCATACATATAAGAACACTCTGCTCTTAGCTCCATGTTCCAAGTGTCTGTAGACAAACAGAAAAAATAGAAAGTACACAGCCACAACTGCACGAGTTTGTCTAATTCTCTTTTCTGTCAGTTATTACAAATCTAAAATGACTATTAATGATTTTGAACCACAAGAGGACAACAGAAGACTAAGACCATATGTGCTTCCTTACAGAAGCTGGTACTCACCCTCTTTTTCCACTTCTAGGTGGAGGACCACTTCGCCTTTCACTCCTAGGCCCTGAGAAGTTCCTCCCCGGTTTAGCTGGCCCATTGTTGCCACGTCGGTTTTGACGGTCTATTCCAGGCCGCTGACTAGAGAAACTTCTCTTGGCTATTTCCCTTTTTGGAGCTCCAGCGTTTTCTCCTGCCTTTGCAGCCACCTGTGCTGCTATATCTGCTGTTTTCTTCTCATCCCTCTCCCGCCTCTCGTTGAAGTCGCTGCTTTCTGAGGCTGTTTCCCACTCTTCATTCGCCTGGTCTGAAGAATTCTGGTTGGACAAGTCTGGTGTCTTACTTCCTGACACATCCAGAGCAGTGTTGGAGGGCTCACTAACTGCATTACTAACTGTGGCACTTGTTGATGAGTTGGTTACCGCCTCATTTATCTTTGATGCGGCCTCTCTTTCTTTTAGGCGCCTAAAGCGTGGTGGCTTATCTTGCCTTGGAGGTCGAGCAGGCCTTTGTCTTCGTGGCCTCTCTCTATTTGGATCAAACTTTCTCTCAAATTTTGGAGGTCTTTTATCAACTGATATAGGACCATAATGTTCATTTCTTCTTGGAGGCTCCCCATCTTCTGGTTTAATGATGTCTGTTTGCCTAGGGTTCCACTGATTGTCTCTGTAGGCTGGTCTCCTTATTGTAGACGGACGTGGAGGACGCCCACCAGGATCCCTGCCACCACGTCTATACATTCCCCCTCTGCCTCGTCTAGAAGGCTCTCCTTTAGGAAGAAATCCTGGTTTGGGTTTGTTCTCATCATCTCTTATATATGTTTTTTCTAGGGATCTGTTGTCTACTCTGATACTGTTTTCAGGTTTGAACGACAGGGGCTTTGGAGGCTTCTTGCCATCAGCTCTCTCTTCTCTTTTTGGGTGCTTGCCTTTGATTAGGCTGTCTTTGTCCGAAAGCAGTGTGTCACTTGCACTTTCGTGAACTTCGCTGTCAGAATCTGTCTCTGAACCATGCTGTCGCCGCCGTTTTGGGATTACTTCAAAGTCAGAACTCTCGCTACGAGTTTCACTCTCTTCTCTTTGCCTAACCGGCCCTGAAGGCACATGGTCTGATCTAGGCTTAGGATCTCTGTAGTGTGGGTACTCTCTATTATGGCCTCTACTGCCCCGACCACGTCCTCCGTAAGAACCCCTGTAGCTACGACCTCTAGAATAATACTCCCCACGACCTCTGCCTCTGTATCCCTGATCTGGGAACCAGTCTCTATCCCTAGCCTCTTTCCAGTATGTCCTAGGTGGTAAGCCAGGCTCTCTTTTTACTGGTCTGGTTTCTAAGCGTGGTTTCTCTACAACCTCCTTGCTAGCTACCTTCTCAGTCTGCTTTTCTTCCTTCACTGCAGAAGCTGGCTGCTGAACGTGTGGCTGCTGCTGTGCTGCTGGTTGAGCAGGCGGCTGCTGCTGTACTGCAGGGGGAAGCTGTGGAGCAGCAGGCTGGGCAGCTGGTAGCTGCTGCTGGACTGGAGGTGTGGGTGGCTGAACCGGAGCTTTAGCTGCAGTCTCAGTTTGACCGCTCTCCTGGCTCGCTGGTGTCGGAGCAGCATCCTGGGTTATCTTCTTAGCCAGAGGAGCGCTGCTGGAGGCGGATGTCTCTGGCTCAGCCTGAGGCAGTGGCACCTGAGGTGCTTCCTTTTTGTCACTTTTTTCAGACTTGCCAGGTTTTTCACTAGCTGTCTTTTCTCCTTCTTTCTCCTTCCTCTGCTCACGCTCTTCTCTCTGTTAAAAAAGCACAGGTTTTTTAATAGGACCCGATCTTCTTACTGGTCTATCACCGCCTTCATCTCTCCTGCCATAACCTGGCCTAGGACCCCATCTTGTTTCAGACTTAGGTTTGAAAGTTTTTTCAGGTTTTGGTCCTTCTGATGTTCTATTATTGATCAAAATTTCTTTTTTTGGCTTAATCTCAAGTCTCTCAATTGCCTCCTTTGTCTCAACAGGCCTGTTATTTAATTTAGGGATATTTGTTGCTGTCTCATTCCTCTGGTCTTCTGACTTCAGAGAGTGACTTGAACCATGGGAAATGCTTCTCTTTAGCGAAGAGTGACTTTCCCCCACAGGCATCAATTCTTCCGGAGAGCTATGTGTAACTTTCTCATTCACTCCTTCAAAATTAACTGCTGTGTTAGGTGTGTCAGTTTGGAGAGGTTGTACGTCTTCCAAAGGCCTGCTTGGGAACTTTTGTACCTCCACCTCTCCTGATTCTCTGAAAAAGTCTGTCTTTGGATGAGAGTCCAACTGGTTGTGTTCTACAGGATAAGCAGTGGCAGGGACAGCAACTCGTTCTTGCTCCAAGTGTGCCTCAGACCTAAGCAGCAAGCAATTAAGAATGTTAGGGTGGGGAAAAAAATTTTACTCACAAACATTTACTTAAATCAAGTATTTTCTATTTCTATGAAGGATTAAGGTCAGCTCAAGGAAGTAACAGTTATTAATCTTTATAGTGGTTGCTAGTTGTAGGGGTCAATATCCTGATTAAGAGTTCAGTATCAAATGTACAATTAGCTTTAGGAATCTGCTATTGTTAATGCTATATACGCAATTTTAAATGAAGCCTCCAAGTTAGCAGGCTACTATAACAAGTATTACCCAGACAGCAGTACAGCAAAAAGAATTTTTGGGTACTTTTAAGATGTAGAGGAAGCCTTCCTGACCATTCATCATGCAGCAAAGGTCAAAAGTGACTGTCTTGCTTTACACCACTTGTGCTTAACACACCACTTTTGAAAATAACATATGTAAGACAGAAGTTCTCTGATACAGGGAGAGCAGATGGAGAACAGGACAACGCTACAGAAGTGTTCTACAAAACTGAAAATTCAAAATATTATGGCAATCACCATTCATCAAATTAGATTAAGGATCCTAAACAAGGGGTAAATTGTCTTTCTACACCCCACTACAGAGCAGGCATGTCTTTTGTTTTATACAGCAGTGCCAAGTACACTGCAACCCCCAGCCACAACTCCTTTTAAAGTTTTGTGTGAAGAGCAGCTATAACTCAGTCAATTTAAACTGTGTTTTGCAACGTAAGTTATGCAGCCAAGCATGTAAGTATGTATGGCTTGGAGAAGTGACACGCAGGAGTATGTAACTCAGGCTTACCTCAAATCATCAGGCTCTTCTAACGCTTTGGAAGGAGAACTAGATTGCTGAGGTTCTGCATGGGGGTATGGGTCTGACCCCCACATCATGCGGGGCTCTGACAAAGGAACAGTGTGCTCTCTTGCTGAGCGAGCTATATGTTCAAATGAATCTGAACTAGTTGCTGATCCCTCTATCTGGTCTCTTCTCATCAGTGGTTTGGGAGGCATAATTCCTGTGACAGATTTAAGTTCAACAATTGAAACCAGTTTAATATTAGCAAAGAAACCTACCTCAAGACAAACAAAGCATATCAGGAGGTACTGAAGAATGCTATTCTCTCTCCTCCGATCTCCTTCCCTCTGTACCTTCCGTTGTTGAAACCAAGTGTCTATTCGCTGCCAGTTGACCTCAGAATGACTAAATCATATTCACCACTAGTACCCCGTGTACCAAAAAAAGGAAAAGCTGTCTGCTTCCACTACAATGGGACAAACCAGGTCTGTAGACCTGTAAACCTGGATGAAGTTTCTGATGTAAGATCTGAACAGCAAAAGGCAAGATGAGTGTACACACAGGTGTTTTTTTTATACTCTATTAAGGACTCTGGGTCCTTTTTTTTTTGGTAACATTTTAAAGAAATTCTACAGTTTTCACTGTCTTTGCTTAGCCTGCCATTTCCTCTGTTCACTCCTTGCACTCATTCAGGATACCCATTCCCTTGTTCATTAGCTGGGTAAGTATCTCCGTTACGTCACATGCCAGACTTGTATTATTTATGCACAATAGCTTTCCTAACTGCAAGTCAGATGGCCATTCCACAAATTAAAAAGGACTTTGTAGTGCCAAGAATCTAAAACCATAAATTTACTAAGACTCTAGAGGTGCTAATACATAATATAAAAATAACAAAATTTCATGGGTTTTTTTAATAAGCAATGTAGTATCAAGTGCTAACATGTAATGAAACATAAATGGTAAATACACTATTTTTCTCAGTTCAACCTAACCCATGCCAGCTTTAATATCTGTAACAAAGTAAGGCTTATGCTGACATTCTGAATACATCCTTAACTGTCACTAACATGCCTGCAATACAGAAGAAAGCTGTGATTTTACTTTATAGTCAAAGATATACATTGACACATGACTATAATTTTTCCAGTATTACTAAAATCTATTTTGTCTCACACAATGAAATAATGTAGTTTTCTTTTTAAAAAACCCACCCATTTGCTGTTACTGTACACAGTGTGGTTAGGGAAAAAAACCAAGAAAGTTCAGCAGTCAAAAAAATGCTACCGGATTTTACCTGGATGAATAGGAGGCATATCCATTGCAGGTCTTCCTGACATCATTCGTGGGTCCATGTAAGACTGCATCATAAGCCACCGTGGATCAAAGCCCATTGAAGCTAAATGCTGAGGATGTGGTTGCATGGGCTGGTAAAGGGGTCTATGCTGGGGAGGCGGGACAGGGCCACTAGAAGGCTGTGAGGGAGCAGACTGTGGAAGGACACCTTGCTGTTGTTGTTGCCACTGCTGCTGTTTCATTTGCTCCTGTATAACAGAAAGTAATATTACACAACTTCTTGTTAAGATGAAGACTTGAGCAGAATTCAAATAACCCTTGGAAACAACAAGTACAGTTATCTCCAGGACACTAATCATTCTGAAAATTAATCGCAACCATGCATCAGGAGAAAAGGGGGAAAACCAGACTGGACAATTTAGAATAGCTACGGTTTTGCTAGTGTTCAGCTGAGACACAGAACAACCTATAGTTTGTGCATGTCATTAATTCAAAGTGCTCTTCAGACCATAGGACCCAAGTCCAAATTACGTTTGAGTGTGTCACACCCTTTACGGAAAAGCTGCAGAAACAATGATCAAACTTCAGGTTCCACAGGTAACCACAGGGCAATGCTCTACTTCAGCAACTGATGCAAAAACCGCCCGTTTTAAAAGCCTCTCTTGCCTTCTGCTCACTTACATGCTTTGCAACTGACAAGAAGTGCTTCATGCAGTACAATTCCTGCCAATACCACAGATGTTATAGAAACTGGAAACCAACAACTTAAGCTTTTTGAAACTTCTGTGGTCACGTTCTTATTCAGAATGAGGTAGAAGATATTATTCTTTTAATGAACTTCCTTCTTTTAATGAACTGGTTAGTTACCTGCTGCCTCTGAAATCTTGGTGGTAATGATTTCTGGAACTGTTTAGAATAGCCCGAGGAAACAGCAGGACGAGGCTGAGATCCTGAGTCTGGCTCACTCTCATGAGTCACCTGTGAAATCTCTTTCTCATTCCGACTACTATCTTGTCGGGTAAAGACTGCTTGATCTTCTGAAAAACACACACGTGGGAGACAAGAGTGAATCTTAAAACTATGATAATTTCACCAGAATGTCAGATAAAGGATGTTCTAAAATGAAAAGTCTGCCTTCTCTAACCTCCTCTAACCTCACAGTCTTAGTTTCCAAAACCAGTAAAGGCAAAAAAAAGTTAAGAACAACCCCTCAAAAGAGAACAATTGTTGTTAATACATCTCTCAGTGTCCCTTTTAAACTCAAATATACCGGGTAATCAACCACTGGCATTCAGCTTGTAACTATTATGTGATTCAGGCAGTGCTGTATCAATGCTACCATATTACATTTGAATCAATTTTTTTTTATGAACAACGTTTGATTTTACAGTCACTTTTATCCACTTAAAGGATAACACAACCTTATTAAGCATAGTCTAACAGTTCTCTTGTGGCATTCAAGTTCCACTACAAAAAATGCACTAAGTTTAAATACGTACTCTTTGTGTCTACTTCTCTAGGCTTGCTGAAAGAACAGAATAGCTGAAATAATTTACGTTGCTTTTTAGCAACACAAGTTGCTGACCCTCCTTTAGCATGAAAAGAAAGCCTGCTTTTCTTCTGCATTCTTCAAAGTCCAGCCTAAATCACAGAGCCCAATTTTTCCTTTAACCTTTTGATAAGTTGGGCAAACAGGTCTAGCTCAAAGAGCAGTTAGCAGCTATTATGTGCCAGGAAAATAAATGGTCTAGATGCACTCGGTTAATTAGGTATGCAAATTAGACTCCTAGATTACAACTGTGCTCTGTGGCTCAGCTTTAAGACAGACAACTCCTACTTGCGTGCAAGCATACCTTTTTCTTCTTTGTTATTCCTGGTTTCACTTTCTTGTTTTTCTACTACAGGTGTTGCCACAGGTTCTACAGGCTCAGGCACCTCATGTGCTGGTTTCTCTTCTTCTTTCTCTTTCTCATTCTCCTTCTCTTCTTTCTCCAACTCCTTTTCTTTCTCTTTCTCCCTTTCTTGCTCTTTTGCCTTCTCCAGTTTTTCTTTTTCTTCTTTTTCCTTCTCCCTTTCCCTCTCTTTTTCCTTTTCCTTCTCCCTCTCCCTCTCTTTTTCTCTTTCTCGTTCTCTCTCCCGCTCCCTCTCCTTTTCCCTCTCCTTTTCCCTCTCCCGCTCCCTTTCTCTCTCCCTTTCCCTCTCCCGCTCCCTCTCTCTCTCCCTTTCCCTCTCCCTCTCTTTCAGAGGGTCTTCCCGGGAGGGTTTTGTCACACAGCCAAATTTCTCATTTAACCGTTTTAGCTTTTCGGCACAAGCTGCTTTTCGCTGTTCTTCCATTCTTCTTTCTTCCTCTTCTCGCCGCTTACGGGCTCGCTCAACTGCGGCGGATATCTCTGACTGCTGTCTTCTCCTCTGTTTCCAAATTTCATCTTCATCTGGTACTGGTTTAGGGGGAAAGGGTCCCTGCCTTCCAGGTCCAACCTGGCGATCAGGGGGAGGAGGGTGCTGCAATATTAAAATCAGTTATGTCAAGTTGAGCATGTATTATATAAACAGCTAGCTGAAATATTATATTTAACTATTTGTCAACACATGTATTTGCATGGCACCTTTAAAAAGCAGATCTAGAAGAAAAAGCAAGCCCCCACCTTCCTGCTCCAGTTCAGACTCATGCAACCTGAGCTTGGAAAGGAGAGGTAAAGATTCAGTTGGGCTCATATCACTCCTCCTCCCCATCACTAAGGCAAAGTGACAGCAAAGATGACAAACATCTTCTAGATTTAGTTACAGGCTGCTCTATATCACAGAGACTCAGGGCAGATCTCAGACAAAAATCCCCCAAGGAGCCAAAGAAATTCAAGGTAGCTCAGGATAACAGAGATTTTAATAAGGACTGTTGAAAATTGGTAAGAAGCTACTATGTACACATTTCATTTGAGACCTCATCTCCTCGTCTGCCTCGGCAGCCAGCCCTCCAGCACCGTTCCCATGTCCCTGTCCTCTCTAGTTCCCAAATGGGGCTGGACAACTGAAAGCTCTTGAAGTTCTCATGCATTTCATATGCCACTTATAAGATGGGGCTGCTTTACACAATTAGCAGTACTGCTGTGTTGGGGTCCCATTCTCATTGGCCCCAGGCACTACGATCATTTTACTTGTTAAAAAAAAGGCTTATCCCTATGTGAAGCATATTTTGTCTTTTTTTAGTCTAAATCCCTCCACCACAGCATTAAAGAATTTAACTCAAGGAAATAAGGACAATTCCAATCTTTCTTACCGGTGGTAGAATAGATTTTGGATGAAGAGCAGGACCACCTCTTTCATGTATAGAAGGCTGTGCTGGACCCCGATCCTATTGAATCAAACACAGTACCAGGGTTAAGCAAGCTCATAACAACAGTCAAGCTGACAAATTTTAGATTTACTGTTTTCTACTGCATTAAGATAGTACACCTAGTGAACCATCTGCATATGATCCAAATTTGCATGCAAAACAAGGGCAAGAACATTTCCACTTTATGTACTGAGAGCTAAACAATTACTTTAAAAATTCACACATCCAAATTTCAGAGTTTATGTTACTGCACTGTTTTTCCTCAGATTCAACGTAGCATCAAACCCTGAAAGGCAACATGATCTTTATATAGAGAAAGTGCAAGTAAAACCAATTCAAGATCTCCTATCTTCACTATTACTGGTGTCAAGAGAAAACATTTCTGGGAAATTTTCAGATAAAGTCAACAGTAGCTTTTCCGGGGGGGAGGGGAGACGGGACACGACCCAAAAACCAGAGCTGAAGCAGGCATAAGCTGAGATGGTTGCCAATCTTCTTCTACCAGAGGATAAACCAATAACCAAAATGGCTGAGCTGATGAATTTCTACATGGTCTGTATAAAATCTATCCGCCTGAGATGTCAGAAGTGAGCTAACATACTACTGCTAAGTTGCACTGAAGAAAGTGGGTCACAAAACTAAAAAAAAAAACCCACACCCAGGAAAAATGCATGGGACAACTGGGCACCTATTTACTCTGTGCCACTATAAAACATGATAGACACCAGAACAGTTTCATTCACTGTTACAGGGATGGACAGACAAGAGTATCGAGTTAAAGCTTGTCAGCTGAGTCACAGTAACTGACACAAGAGTTCTCACTCCCTCACAACTGTGGATTAGAACACGCTAGATAAAGATGTGCTATTTTTATTTTGCGACCAGAAGCAGCTAAGTTGACTAAGCAGCACCCGATCAGTTACCACAGCTCAGATAAACAGTAGCTAATGCTTTCACTCACGTTCATAACCTTAATTGACCTGACAATTTGGAAAGACACTTGAGTCGGACCCCTCCTGGCAAGGCTGTTGCCAGAATAGCTGAAGAGAAGAACACACAAACCTGATCAAGCTGAGAGCTTTTGCCGTAAGACCCTTTGGTTGCTGCTGTGGAAACCTGGGTGGCAGACTTAGCACTCGTCTGTTCTTCTGCTTCCTTCTGGCCATCAGGACTCTGGGAATCTTTTGATGGTGTTTGTTCATCACTATGTGCAAAGAAATAAGAAAAATGGAAGGTGTACTCCACAAAAGTATTTGGTGATTTATCTTCTATCCTCAATGCTTCTTATCAAGAGTGAAATTTCCTCACAGCAAGGATCATTCCTATTACATGCCCAGCTGACTGGAGTCTGCAGGCAGTTATGCAATTTAATACGGTATTAAATTACTGGAATAAATGTTATTGGAATGAGTACTTGCACTCATTTCATTCAACCTTCCCAAAAGCTAAGCTAGCTAAGTGGCATTCACACCTAATTGGCAACACCAACTCACCCACTTTCCTTCTCTTTTTGACTACTTCCTTGCTCATCATCATCACTGAAGTTGAGCTGCTCAGTGTAATCCACTTCACTCTGAGCACCTGATACATAAACAAATATTCAATTAATCTTTCAGAAAGATTCAATTTACAAATAACAGAAACCATTAATCTGATGTTCTTACCTGCCCAGCCTTCATCAGCCTCAGCATCTAGATTATCAAATTTATCAAGTTCTTTAAGTTCACTAGCACTAAGAATAGATGGGCGCTCAATAGGTTCTGAACACCATGAAGGTGGTCCTCTTCCCCTTGGCCCTCTAAAAAAAAAAAAAGAGAAATGAAGGCCACTGTCACTATTTATCCAGCAAAATGACTAGATAAAAGGTCAACTTGTATGACCATTATTTGAAGTATACAGTACTGTTCTCTCAAATACAGTATAAATGTGAACTATCATCCATACGTGCGATTGTTCAAACAATTACTGATACACCACCAGATGGTTCTTTATGGAAGAGAATGATTAGATGCTATAGCCTTGCTTGCAAACTTCACAAACAAGCAAACATCAGCTGACAGTAGAAAACCACATGCCTTGTAGCTTTCAAACAACACACTGCATAGATCTGGCATCCTTATCACCAATTTATCCACCTCGGAGATATTTCTTTATACTTCTCATGCTTTCGCGCTGTCAAAGGTTCTGTACCTTCTCCCTACTCCCACACTCAATTTCTCCCAGTCACCCCTCTCAGCCTTTCTGTCCTCTTCCTGATCCCAACCACAGATCACCTGTGTCAAAGTTTGTACCCTACTGCCTATGGCATCCCCTATTTCCTCATGCACGTGCACAGCCATCCTCAACTACGGAGAAACGCACAGAGAGGAGGAAAACTAGTTTTATAATGCATTACAGTTCTACTTTAATTGGAGAGCAGTAGAGTTGAGAACCAGGAATTAACTACTTTCATTATAACAATAGAAGTGTCCTTTTACGGGCAAAATACTGGTTGAAGTTTCAAAAGTGTCCCCAAGTGACTCCTGCTCTTCCCAATCAAAAACCCTGTAATGTGCAGAATTCCCTCAAGTTTTGCAGTTGAGTTGTCAAACACAAACCACTCCATGGCACTGCTCCACACAAGCCAAACTTGCGAGACTAACCAGCGGCAGTTCTTACGCAGTGTACAATCATAATCAAGACAGTGCAAATTTTTTTTTTTTCCCTTTTTTTCATTGAGTCACAAAAAAGAGTTCATACCTACACAACAATAACACTTGCAAGGTTTCTTACCTGCTAGGCTCAGAATTGGGAAACCTTGTTGGACCTTGCATGGAAGGAGGATATGCCATTCTAGGATACTGATTAAACATCTAAGAAAGGTTTAAAAACAGGAGCCATTCGTTAAAAAATATCATTGCATTAAGCATACTGAGATCATCAAAGGAATCACAAAGGAAGTAAAGCAAGACTCTTCACTCAAGACAGTATGCTTAATATCACAAGTGTGTGACATCAAGTCACCAAGGTGGAGTGATTACAGGGGTTAATCAGCTCCTGACAAGTTCAAACTCAGTGTAGCAGGAGCAGCAACAGGTAGCCACATCCTTTAAGGAGTTGGTTGCAATCCCACCCTCCTAGCAGAACTGCTAAGCGTTCTATGGAGGGAGGAGAAAGGGGCATAAGGAAATCACACTAGCCAATAATCAATCCCTGCTGCTTAAAAACTTTTCACATAACCATCACTTACATAAGGTGGCATCATTGCTCTGTACTGAGACGAGATAGGTGGTTGCTGCTGGCCATTCAGCTTGGGCTGAGGGACCTGTGGTAATCGCACATCCCTCTTCTCTGCTGCCTTCTGGCCATCATTTTGTTCTGCTGGTGTAGCATTACCATCTTCTTGTCCAAGAGCCTTAGCTTCTTGATCGGTTGGAGAACTGGGCGAGTTGCCCTTATTACCACCTTCTCTCCAAACAGTAGCATCTGCATGGACAGAATCAGTACGAGAAAAAACAAGAACAGACTTTATATTACAGATTTACAGACAGGCATGATGAAAAACACATTCTTCCTACCCATTTTTCAGTGATACAGTGATCTATGCAGACACACATTCATACTTGGTACTGAAACAAGCAATGGCCACTTGAAAAAACAGAGGCTGTTTTCTAATCCTCTTTGGCTCTACATCCAGCTGTGTTCCTGAAGGGTAAGAGTCAAATTTATAGACTGCTCTAGTTGTCCTACTTACCTTACAAAACACAATGCAATTTGGGAAAGATACTGATAATAGCACAGGAGAGAAAACAGATTTAGCTGTGGTAAGTGAGCCACTGTCGACTCAGTGTGAAGACACTGTCAAGGGAAAGATCAAGCTTCATAAGCAGCAAAGGCCTTATGAAAGGCCTACCACGAAACTCTCAAGCAGCTCAAAATGACATATACCTGCGCATTATCTTTCTAAGTGAAGACAGGTATCCAGAGTCTGGCTTGTATCTCTATCTCATAAGGACGGAATAGAAGCGATGAGGGCTGTACTTCTGGGTGTGAATGTCTAGCAAAAAGTCCAGGAAAAGTAAGTGACTTTAATGACCTATCACTTGTGCCAGGCAGTTCATTCATTCAGCAGTTTCTGCCCACAGAGCACAGGTTAAGGCAAAAAAAAGAGTAAACTTAGCAGCAGTGCTCAGATCCATGGGGACCAACAAAAATTCACAGATATACACTGTAAATAATGTTCCTTTAGGGGTGCAAACTCTTTAAGCGGTGTTAAACTATGCTCCTAAGTATCCACTACAGTTCTTGACTTATCTTTGCTGGGGAGCACAGCTGCTAAAGGGGCAGTACTTGCCAAGCTCGTTTAGCCTTCTGCTGTCAGACCTGAAAGAAGGGCTTAATATAGTATGTACAGTGCTGACCAAAACTATAACTGCCTGCAGGAGGCCGGAACAGACATGCGTAGTTATTTTCCCAATTTGATGTTGAACATCTCTCGAATTTCTCGACAACTTATTCTTCACATCAAAATCAAGTTAGGACGTGAACAAGCATATGGCCTCAGTCTGCAAGACGTGATTAAAACAAATTAAGGAAAACTGATGCCTGTAACAGAAAGGAGTTAGGGATTCCCTGAGAGCCCAAGCCCTCTAAAAGCAGTGCACATTTTGTCTATCACTGGCACAAGGTAGTGCCACCTACAGTGCAGGAAAGGATCCCTAGTCCATCAAACCTCTTAAAAAAAAAATTTTTGAGGACGAAAGGAATCTTGTTTCTCACTGGCACAATCCCAAATGCCTCCCCATTAAAAAGATTCAGGGAAGCAATACACATTTCTTCACTGAGACATGTAAAGCCAGCACTGTTATGGCTGTTTCCACCAGATCTAACCCCCCACAGCTGAAATACATCCAGCTAGTCAGAGCACCTCAGCCATGAGCTAAAGATGCCTTAGCCTTTCAAATCACACTCCACTCTTTTGGTATCCTGTAGATTATTCAGGCTACTCCTTGAGTACTAACCATTTAGGGACAACCCTAATGATGATTTGTATAATTAGTTAACATTAGGAGATTTCTGTAAATACATATTTTACTGTTGTGACACCTAGCAGCTGGAAGTAAGAAAATTCCAGTATTGTGCAACTAACAAATGTTCCTCAGAGCACAAGCACAACCACTAGGTTGGGAAAATGGAAAGTGAACTACAGCATAGGATTAAATACCCTATTTTCCACTCACCAGTAAAGCAGAAGAAAGCCCCAAAAATCTCCTTCTTCAGTGTAGGAGTGTTTTGATTAAAACAATCAATTTACTGATTTATTTTGTACAGGGCGCAAGTAATCTTGTAATAAACGAGTTCCACACAAACCCATGCAATTTCACAAAAATTTGTAGTATATACTTACTTTGTGGTCGCAAGTTGGGTCCTGATCCATGGAGCTCTTCAGGTGCATCTTTCTCTTTGCCTGACTTTTCTTGATCCCCAGCTGCCGGCAGACTGGGGAACTCTTGCTGGAAATAACTATTTACCGGAATAGCTGGACCTACACAGTAAGATATTCACAAAGTCACAATTTTCTGTAGTCAAAACAGTTCAGAAAGTGATAAAAGCCTGATCAGCCTTAAAAAGTGAACTTTAAAGCCACAACAATTTACTGGTAACATAATTCACATAAGCAAAGAACAATCCCTGTAAAGCATTCACATTTGCTACCAAAGTTGAATTTACTGGGCCAACTGTCACACCTCTTGGGGCTGAGAAAAATCCAGAAGCACCAGAGAGCAATAATGGACAATGGAACAAGACTTAACACAGGGAGAACCTGAAGTTCCTCAGCTCTGTTAACGCCTCTCCCCCTCTGCCCCTTCCAGACAAGGATTTCCTTCATTTTATTCTACAACTATAGTCAACCCAAGAATGGGCACCTATGTTACTGCAAAAGCCCTTAAGATTAATTACTGTTCTAATAACAATTCTTCAGGACTTTAAAAGGCCACCGCTTTTACATTATGAGAAAAGTATCAGAACTGTAGTATTCTTTGATTTCTAAAACCCTTGACACCATACCTCTGGATTGGAATTTAAGACTTCTGTTGCACATGTTAGGGAAACCAAATACATAGATTATCTTCCTCTTTAGCAAGTTTTGTTAGCTTCTACTTTGAATCAATGCCACCCTCCCCCCGCCCCCCGACCCCAATGGATATTGACCTATTAGGTCAGTAGCATTTCTAGTACCAAACCACTGCTAATCTTATTGAGGGAAGATTTCTATTCCAACAGCCTGAATAATGCCCTGTTCACATACCGTCTTTACTACTGGCTACTATAAGAGACATCATATTAGGCTACACAGACAATATATTTTTTTTTTTAGCTAACAGCTAGAAAAGCTTCTGTTCTCTCTGATCCGTGAAAGAATCTTTCCATAACAATAAAACGCAGGGATCCTGATTTTGTTTGTTGTTTTTAAGATTAAGAGTCAACCACAGGATAAACTCCTTACTCTTTGTACTTTCTTTGTAAAGGCATGACAGCAAATACCAGTATTTATCCCTGTGCCTACAAACTGCCTTGAAATCTTTCAATCTTCATTCCAACTTCACCTACTACAGATCAAGTCAACTTTTTTTTTGTTAATGGACGTTAGACTCTTTGACATTCCCAAGCAGCTACATCCAACGACTTGCTTAAGAGGAATGAAAACCACAGTCACGCTAACCAGATGGCCTGCCAGAGAAGGGAGCCTGTTCAGAGGTCCTGTGGCATGCAACATTCATGAGTTTTACGAATCTTGAAAAATGTTTTCTGCTCAAGCCTACACAGTGACAGCAACAATGTTTTAATTGCAAAGTAATAGCATCCTCAGCGACCAGCTTGACAGCACTTAAGCTATCAACCTGAAATAGCCAGATTGGCAGCCAACAGTTCAGAAAGAAGTTAAAGAATTCAAAGATGTTATGGTAGCAATTAACCCGAACTCTTAGCCAATGCCTGAGCCGAAAAATACATGCTGCCACTACATTTTAGAAGTCTTTCCTTTCTATATGGCCACCAACAGCATCAGAGAAGGATTTAGTCTTGCCTCACTCTACTGAAGTCTTACAAGAGCATGAGGCAGCCAGCTGAATGACTGCTGGAACAGGTACAGGGCACCTGCAAAAACTACAAGTTCCACCAGCCAACTGCAGATCAGGAAAGCATGGGCACAACAGGTGTATCCTGAGTTTCAAACTGAGGAGGACAGGAGGATAGCAAGCAGCTCATGCCAATTCACATTCTCTATTTATTCTTGAAATAGCAAACCCACTACCGCATTAACTGAATGAAATGAGGGTGCCATCTGCGCTTGGCACACAAGCTGCCATGGTAACTACAAAATAATTAGCTAAATGCATTTTGAAGCCACTGAGCCGAATCACTATTTCCTGTGTCATAGAGATGATCTTATCAGCTTATATAGAAAGGCTGGTATGCAGATCACTTTGACCAGTGTTAATTCCTTTTTTTTATTCTACAAAACTCCTGCAAAAGCTTAAAGGAGGAGAGTTCCTATATTTGACAATGAAGGAAACACTGAACAACAGAGAGGAGAGCAAGAAGTGAAGAATCTAGAATTGTCACTTCTAATACTTACTACAAAAAAAGGCAAAATCATTAGATATGCGATGTTAACAAACTCCATATAATGGCTTAGAAGTTACCTCCATGCAATTCAGATTTTACTATTCTAAGATGCCTATCCAGGAAAGAGCTCACTTCTTCAACCTGGAAGCCAAAACTCTATTTTATAGCCACAAAAAGCTTCCAGGTCTCATATTTAAGGAATAAAACATGTCGTAGGTTATTTTTCATAATGGAGACACAGGAATTCTAAGTAACCTCTCACTCTACAAGCAGTTTAAAAAAATCCGCTGAAGATTTAGCTCTGATCTTACATCTGTAATGAAAACACTCAAGCTAAGATTCACGCTGATGGAAATAGTTCTCCATCCTGTCATACAATTATGTTAAAAAAACCCCAAAACACACCTTTAATGCTTTTCCCAGAAAAAACCCTACTTGAACACTATCACTTTGAAACCAAAATAACCAAGGAATCTATAAAATAAAGGGAAAAATATTTTTTTAGCAGACATTTAAATAGAAGCAAGACTACACATATTTTGCACAAAATGATACAAAATTATGATTAGAACAACCACTAACTGTTTATGGTTCTCCCTCCCATGCCAAAATTGTATGCATTATAACTACTGACTGAGATTTTCCCTCGTCACCATAGCCATGTTCAAGACCTTACACTGTCACCATCATTTTCCTGTCAATCCAACAGAGGTGACTATACCAGCTGTTTAAAAGGCAGTCAGACCTGCTGCTAAATCAGGCTGGAGCTCACTTGAGTGACAGGGACCAGCTCACCTTCCGGCCAAGAAAGTTGCTTCCACAGCATTCGTAGTCCCAACTGCTAGGCCCAGTCAAAAACCCCTCTGCCTTGAGTATCACTTACCATCTTGTCCGCCTGGTTTGGTGTTGGCCCACGATTTGGCAACAGGAGCTGCTTCTGGAGGAGCAGGAACAGCAGGTTTTGGCTGTGTCTGCGGCACGTCTGGCTGTCTGGAATTAGAGGAAAAGCACTTGTGAATACAGGAGGGTGAGCACAGAATAAAATCATCAGGATTACTACTGCAAACAAGTGAATGAAATGAGGCAGCTATGCAGCTGAAGAACCAATAACCACTCTTCTGTAGAAAAAGCATTTTCTTGTATAAAAGGAGTTGTTATAGTAACACTTAAAAATTGGAATAAATTAGCTAATTCTTTCAAGAATAGACTTCCCAAAGTGCAGAGGAATGAATGAAAATGGCTGGGAAGAAAATGCAGTCAGTCATGAACAGAATTATAACTTTTGAAGTAGTGTATTGGACAATCAAAAACCAATCAATCTACAACCATGAAAGGGAATAATTTGGAATAATGTTCTCTTGCCTCAGGAGTTGAGAGAAGAAAGCGCTTAACGACCACCATGAACTGAGAGAAAGAATGCAAATATACATCAGAAATTACGAAGTAAAAGGAACTGATAAGGAAAGCTAAAGACATCATGAATAAAATTTATGGGTATCATGAATTGGAGCCCAGAAGTTTAAGTCTATTAAGAACAAAGTCTCAATTTCACCATCTTAACAATGAAGAGGCAGACATTTACCATAAGCACTCACTTTGTCCAATACAAAACTCACGCATTTTCTTGAAGATCTTTCTAGTCTACAGATTCAGTGATGTTGTTTAACTTCTTTCAAGAACAACTATTTCTGCAATCTGCATATTCAGATACCTTAATACTCCAAAGCATTAGTGTCTACAAGTCACGACCTCCAGCTCAGTAGTACTCATTTTTGATAAAACAGGAATTATGGGGTAAATCCAGTAGTCTAGAATCACTTTATTATACCAGTAAAGAGATAACTAATGCAATATCATGTCAGTTAACTTACAATAAACAATTGTAAATGCTTTAAATAGATCCCAAAGTAATCTGAAATTTCTGAGGAATGCCACTGAGAAGTCAGTTCCATTTGGGTTCTGCAATGATCAGCCCAAAGCATGGTAGTCTCAGAGATGATGTAGAAGTGACCACCACCACCAAAAAAAAAAAGTCACTGCTGGGGGGAAACACATTGGCTTCTCACAAGGATAACTGAATGCAATTTTGATTTGTTTCCACAGATTACAGGAATTAAAAAAAAAATCTCTTCAGTTTCCACTTCATTTTCTTACAGCTGCACATTTTCTAAACAGACTTTGGGGAAGTCTGGAATTTACGTGGCTGTACTTTGTCACACAGAAGTGAAACAAGGAACAAGACTGTTAAGAGTTTATTTCTTGCAGTTCTACTGTTTCAAAGCTGAGCCCATGTAGAATTTGAGTTATCCAAACACTGTCCTATAGGAGTACCATTTGATAAGGGAAAGAACTCAGCTTGGTGCTAGCTGAATTAATCAAATCAATACACGACAGGCTACACTATCCAGGAAAAGGGGCCTGAGGCAACACCCATAGAAAGAGTGACAACTTGGGAAAGCAGCAAAAAAAAATCATCATCACAGACAACAATTCACTCATGTGAACTCCAATGCAGTGATACAAGAGAAAAAGAATTAAACTAAAGCAAGCTGATATCAAGATGTTACCTTTATCCACAACACTTACGAGAGGAATACCAAAACACTTTACATGTAAACTGCAGCATTTATAAGCATGTTGAAATACCGGAGAAATATAGCAGTAGCTACAAAAATGGTCTGAAGACTTGAGCAAACATATTAGATGGTCTGAATTTTGGAGAATTTACTCGTGGCCTGGGCATACATACTTGTTCCTGGGAACGAGTCCCTCCCCCCACTAGTTTTACTTGTATGTGGTCTTTGAGGCCTTTATCAGAATAATGCATATGAAAATACAAAGGCAAACACCTTCCAGCTGCAGATAAGGGACAGCTATTTATTTATTTTTAAACGCAACATCAACTACTGGAATATACTTCTAACACATGCAGCAGGCTATGGAAAGCCAGACAAAGATGCAAATAAAGTGTGTTTTAGTCAAACAAGCTACTGGCTCAACACAGATTTAACTAGACAAAGTGTAAGTGACCTTGAAGTACAGGAAGATGTTGTTAAAGTACTATACAAAACATTGGGCAGAAAATTGTAAATTTGTAGTTTCATAAGCTTAAAATGAAAAGCTGAACACAACATTATACTCCTGCAGTCTAACAGCCTTTCAGAGAGATGTCAAAAATTGACATTTAAATGTAGGAAAGTATACAGGGAGAAATAAAGGGACAGGAAGAAAGGGAAGAAAACCTTTATCATCTTTTGCTTTCACAAGTATTAGCGACATACAGTCAGTGCATCTATCTTCAAGTGTTTTTTCAGAACAATTTATATGTCAAAGAATAAACACTTAAAACCCACTTCTACTTTTGTAGTGAGAATCATATCCTATTTTAAGCTTACATGGCAAAAAATACTTTCTAATTAGATTATTGAAAAGTTGTGGTCTCTATTTTCTTCAGCTGACCTCCTGTACAAGCGTGAAACAAACTTAGCAGACGAAACTGAGCATGGGAAATTATATTATATATGGTATACAGCAGTGCATTAACATCACCATTATTTCTATTTTGTTTAAATCACATATTGGGGGAGTGTGAAACAATAGTGTAAAGTTTAAGATAGAAAATTTTTGTCAGTCTGTAGAATTTATGGCATACTACCCAAACAAATGAAAGTGCAAATATTAAGAACCATTAGGAAAATAGAGATTCAAACAGATGTATAGAAACCAAGAATTTTTGAGCTTTCTCTGCCATACATCAGCAATCACACTAAATTAAACAGATTTTTGCATACTCTCATGAACCTGCAAGTTATTATTTAACTTAGGTGCTGTGTACCTAAGGGTTCCTAGAGTTGCAAGAGAATTTTAAGGTGATTACACTGATCTTACAAAAACGTGCTATAGTATTTCCTTTAAGCAGCCATCAAAACTTACACAAAGGTAGCCACGTCAGGTGGCTAAATGAAACACTTATCCCCTCATATGGAATTTATAAGCATCCTGCTTTCAATGTAAGTGTGCGGGAGGTTTTGTTGTTGTTTTTGTGGGGTTTTGTTGTTGTTGGGGTTTTTTTGTTTCTTTTTTTTTTTTTTTAAATATCCCCCTAAAAGCAAGCTTCTTCCTCACAAAAATTAATAGTGGTGCTATTTCCTCTCTGGTAGCTTTCTTGAGGACAGTCAAGTCTAGCCAATTTCTTCCCCTGCCCTGCCCACCCCTAGTTTTGGGAAAACTTGAGAGAAATGGCACAGCAAAATAACCCTGATCTCATTGGTCACTTACTTTTCCTCCTCGTGCTGTTCTTGTTTCGAAGCCCATCCTGTACCGTCTTTAGGCACAATGTTCACGTTAGGGTCATTGCCTTTGTTCTCTGCTTTGAGACTGGGGAGGTTAGCTGGGGGAGGCATCCTCCTTGAAATAGCAACTTTTCCAAGACTCTGTAATCCATGGCGTGCGGCAACTGCACACCAAAACAGAAAGTGCAAGTTAAGAGTGCTGTTTAGCAGGTAGTGTTCATGTAAAGCTGCATAAATCAATAAAAATGTTTTGCAAGAAATTCAGAAAATTTAAGAGATAAGAATTAGAAATTCAAAATTCTTCATAATTTAATTAAAAAAAAAAAGGGAATTAGAAATACTTGTTTGGGAGAACTTGAGTACTTCTTAAATAGCAAGTCACTATGGTTAGCCTATTCCAGAGATTAAAAAGGATATATCGCCCCACCTTTATACACAATGCTCAGTGACAGAAAGCTACAGGAGCTATTTAAAATACGATGTTGATGTCTTAATATCCTTTAAATATGTTGTCAAGCATCATCCTTTTGCTCCTTTTGGGGTTTAATGTACCTTGATGAGTCCAGGAATACCCACATGGGTTCAGCTCATTTCGTTTTTGCTACCAGTTTCAGTTGGCAGATGCTGCTCTTGCAAAAACATTTCTACAAATTGCACTTACTCCAGACCACAAGTATGAAAAAGCAACATGAAGCTAACACACTACACAGGACATTCAACCTACCAACTAACCAACTCAGGTGAACAAGTACAAAATACTACCCTAGGCATGTTGTATCATCACAAACATCTCGGTTTCAACCTTTAAAAATAATATTGTGACAAATTTTAGCAAAGTTTGAACACATTTCCCCTCTTTCACCCCCCAATTTAGACAAATATGTCAAATCAAATTCATAGCCTTCAGAGTGTCATTTCCCCCCAGTTCTCAATCCAATCAATCACAAAAAAGCAGGCCCACAGTGGCATTATTTGAAATTTCAGTATAAGTTTCACCCAGTGTTTGACTGCAAAACAGACAAAGCACCTGATCTGAGAGTAAGCACTGCCTTCTTGTTAATCAAACACCTCCAGTATTGCAAATGTTTTCTGAAATACGGTAAAAAGCACAGCTGGGGAATGGCATGTCATATGCTGATAACAAATGAAGACTGCAGCTATAAAACAGTTATATACTTACATTCTACTTCCTACTAGACTGCAAATGCTGTCTCCCTGGTTTAATACTCTTGTTTACAGCTAACCAGAAACTGTAATCAAGATTGCTTTCCAGAATTCTTCCACTTAACTGTTGTATCAAGCAGTTCAAAAATCTTGCTGTGATTAAGTGCTCATATACTTTGCACTCTTAATTAGTACTACAGTAATGTAATGAAGAAACAGAATGCAAAACTAAAGTCAGTTTACTCACCTGTGGTTTTCTGAGTTTCCAGTGACTTTCCCTTGTAAGTATTAAACAGACTGAGTGTTGCATACTTTGTTTTTCCATCCTTTGCTTTTGTACTCTGGCCTGACTTTTCCGACATTTCGATGGAAACTCATCGAGTCTGGTACCTCCTGCTCACCCCTCAAAATTTGCCTGAAAAGAAAAACACCAGAAAAGTAAGACAGTTTCCTTATGTAACACTGTGTAAGTTTAAAGTATTTCCATCTCCACAATTTGAAAGTCACAAAATCAGGAGGGTCAGCATTTAATTAGTATCAAACCTTTCATAAGTGGCAAATATTGTCCATGATCTCACTAAAAAAAAAAAGCATGCTAAGTTTCCACCAGCAGCTAGCTCCCCACCAGGGAAGCTCAATGACTTCACCCACTCCTGCAGCCAAACACTGAGATACCACTAACTGTGGTGCAGTATTTCTGGAATTTGTATCCTTTTTTTCCAATTAAAATCATCATGAAGTCAGCAGCTAGAGAAATTACATACACCGAGTCAGAAGTTTTCTTTATCAAAATTAGGAACACAGTGTGTTCAGACAGGGAGGGTAAAGAATTCCTTAAACCAAGAGTTACACTATTCTTGCAGTAGTAAATTACAGGGCTGTTAGAGCAGGTCATCCCTCTCCTCCCTCCTTCCCCCAGACTAGCAGGCCTTGAGAAAAAGAAGCTAGTAATTATCACTGATATTTCACTAGAAGTTCTTAGAAGGTACTTGACAGAGTTGCTGCTCATCATCAGGCAGGAACACAAGTGAGCATTCACTTAAACAGAACATTATATAGTCAATTTATCTTAACACCACCCAAAAACCCTGCTACCCCCCTTACAGTAACAATTTTTTATATATTTCCATATGAATTCCAGAACAGTTATGTATGCTGAAATACTCTTGCGTTTCATTCTAAGAGCAGACAGCAATAAGCAAGACAGAGCTATACATCCTGCTGAAACTCCCTGATCAAACTCAGAGTCTCAGCAGATCTTCAAAAGGAACTCGATTCATGTGCAAGGCACTCATGTATTAAGAAGAGTCTGCAGGGGCAAGCAGTCCAAAGAATAAAGCACTTACTTGGTCATGACAGACATTAACCAATGTCAGAAGACCAGGGAAGTTTCACTTATACAGGAATGATAACATTCCCACTATCCTCTGCCTTCTCCCTCAATTTACAAGCCATGATTGACAAGACGAAGAAATGAAGATGGCAAATAACCTTGGGATGGTCCAGCTTCAGTAGGATTTGGGCCAGATGCTATTCTGTTACAATCCATACAGACTGTTGCAAAGGGGACAGTCTTCAGCTTCATACAGGGCCACATACATGGCTAAGAAATATATTCTCCCCTCTCCCAAGGAGAAAGCATCTCCCAGATCTTTTGCCAAATTAGTCACCATTTGGCTATTTCAACAGCATATGTTATATCAACAGCCATTCCTCATGTCACACAAAACCACGAAATACAGGATGGAAAGAGGCTGAACCCAGCTCACCATGAGGACCATGTAACCAGAACACAGACCTCAAATACGGCTGTTTGGCCATCCCTTATCTATCCAAAAAACTACATATTGAGGCTTAAGGTTTCACCAGAAGCCACAGCTCACTACTCAAACATCATTACAGGCACAGGGAAGAAAAAAGAACAGCCTGATATAGAATTTAGACAAGCTTACCTTTGGAGCTATCATTCAAGCAGATTTCAAGCAACCATTTACTGTTCATGGCTGCCTCAGTACTTATTTGCAATTCAACAACACGTCAAGCTTTGCTATTATTATTATTCATGGCCACGCAACCGCTTTCAGTTAGTCTGGAGACCTGAATCCAGGCAGACTAGTTTATCAAGCTGGAGTTTAAATCAGACATTAGGCCCTGCATTAGCCTCTTCTTCTGTGAGGCAACTTCAGTAAAATGTCTGTGAAAGAACCTGACAGATTCTTTCCCTTCAATTCTCCTGTTACTCTCTGCTCCCAGACTTGTATTTACGATAAAGAGTCCACCACAATCATCCTGGAGCATCAAACAGAAGAGAAGGTATTGGGCAGATAATTACGAGGAGCACATGGGTGGCAAACAAGCTTTCAGGTGTGCATATAACCATATCAAGTAATACACTATAATTACTTGATACTTAGCTGTGAAAAAAAAAAGAACAACTCATACACAGTTTTAATTTTCAGCCCAAGGCTCATCCCAGCCCCAGATTTTGTAAACAAGAAGTAGCTCCACAATGGTGAATAATCTAGAAGTTGGCCAAAAAAAAAAAAAGAGGGGGAAAAAAAAAAAAAGAAAAAAGATGACTCAGGTCATTTCTTGCCCCCCCAATTCACAAAAGCAGCAAAGCCCTAACAGATGCAGGCAGAGCAGAAAGCAGTTTGAGGATGGTTTAAGATAATGTTGAGTTTTTGCCATACTTTCCAAAGCCTGTACCTCTGGTAGAGATCAACCATGGAAAATCTTAACCATAACTCTCTTCTTTACAGAGTAAGACAGAACTCATACTTGGACAAATCTTAATCTTAACAATTGTTCGTTCGAGAACATTTGATAGCTTAAAGGTCAGGAGGCGGTGATCACGTTCCCCAATAATGCTTTTTTATGTCAAATTTACAAAAATTGGTCTGCTCGTTACAGCTGAGCTCTATGCCTTTTATAGTATTAAAATTCATGCTATTTGACAAGTTTTTCCAAAGTTACACTACGAAGAGAAAGAAACAGAATATTTTAAATTGATTAAAATTGCACATTCCTCAGTAATCTGACTTGCAGAAATTAAATCAAGCACTGCAAACAGTGCTCTTTTAAATTAGGCTAGTCAATATATTCATATTTAACTAAGTTTAGACCTGATACTGGTTGCCAAAGAAGATATACTTGCAAAATTAGACTTCAGACCAGATACTCAAGCCAGGGATGACAAATCCTCTCTCTGAAGAGCCCATATGGCCCTCTACAAACATACCTGCCAGGTCACACATTAAACAAGCATCCAGTGCCATCTAACAACAGTTATAAAGAGATAATTGCATGGTTTTGAGCCATATGAAACGCACCTAGCTTCAAGACCTTTGCCTTCTCATTCAAACTTTAGTTATACATGCTACAGTCCTATACCGGAGCATTGGAATCGTTCCCTCTGTAGGGAGGGGTATTTTAACACGTGTTTAATTTGTGCATACAATAGGTTGGCAAATACTATAGACTCACCAAGTGGTTCCCAATTTGCCCTAATATTTATATCTTTTGTTATTATCACTAAGGTAGCTGTTAGTCTGAACTCTATTAGTCAAATCCTTAAAAGCGAAGTGCTGCTGTCCGCTAGGTTTAGACTCACTGTCATATGAGCAAGAACATGAGACAGCTGTATACCTCTGAACAGCAACAACATATAAAAGATGTCAGAACTACTTACCAGAATTAAATAACTACCATGATAGCAAACAGGACAGGCAACAGTACAAGCAATAACGGCAGCTGGCAGGGTTCACTGCACTATTAAGAAATTTAAACAAGTCAGCAGTTCATTTTGAATGACTACAGTTACTATTAGGCATAATTACAGAAGGCACAACGCTCCCAAAATTCTGGAGCAAAGACTACCTTTCAGCCACTCTGTAACATTACCAAGTAAGTTAACTGACCTTCACAGTGGCCTTAAGATTTTAATGTTAAAGTTATTACTGTAATTTCTGTACCAGACTATTTTTTCAGACTGCAACTGGTTGGCTTATTTAGATCCTGCAACAAACTCAGAAGCATGTGTACAGAAATTAGCACAGTAAGTAGCTGCCACAAATTCTAGATATCCTGGTCTCTGTTAAGGAATATTTACTTCTGCCCTCTTAGATACTTATAGTTGGTAAAAGAGCAAACAGAATGCAGTATATTCCAGACTGCAGAATCATATTTTTAAAATAATAATAAAAACCCAGCAAAAGAAAAAACCCATACATACCACACAGACCTTTTCCACTAAGTTCCCAGCTCGCCTGATCATTTCAGAATTCCCCAAAATTACCTGTTTAGAATTTAATGGTATAGATCATATGTCTGTAAACTTTGCATAGTGTTCCATTACGACCAGCTGCAGACTAGAAAAGATCTTACCTCCACTTCAGAAAAAAGTTCTTATGTGATTAAATAAGGAAGAAAGTATTACATATTTCAAGGTCACTTTTGAGGACTGGACCAGTAAGAAGTTTAAAACATCTAACAACTTAACTCAGCAATTCTTGTATGGTTTCCCTCCTTCTCTCCCACCATGTCCATTTCAGTATTTTGTAGTTTTATTATACATATGAAAAAACAACTTTACATACATGCAAGAACAGAACAGCATTCTGTGTAAGCTACGGTATTCTGTTGTCTTGGTGAAGAAGTACAGGCAGGCATGGAAAGGCGAAGAGAGTTGTGTAAAGGTTCAGGTAGAAAATTAGCTTCTTTATCCACAGTTTTTGGTGGGAGCAGATCAACTCTTACTATTGCCATGGGAAATAAGTGTATTCTCCACATTATGGTCTTCCAATTAATGTGCTTCTGTGTATGTTTGAGGCACAGCATACACCATTCCTCACCTTTGGGAGAAAGATTACTATTCCCTGTATTTTTCAGACATCCCATCCTAGCTGATGTAAGCACAGACGACCGCACGACAAACTCCCTAGATCTGTATTTTATATGCTATATTTTTAAACCTCTAGAGAAAAGTCACCTTTATTTTTCACACAAGTGTAACATGTCAAAAGACTTCTTCAGCAATTTTACAGTTCCTTTAAACAGTCCTATCTTATGAAATCCCACACCCTATGCCTATTTAGCCTACAAGCACACAATCAGTTAGGACAGGTAACCTGTACATTAGCTTCCCAGAATTTTGAAGTCTTAAAAACATTAAGTAAATACTAGAATAATTCCCACATTCCCTATTCAACACAGCTAGGATATCTAGTCCCTTCCACCTCCACTCCAAGGGCTATATTTTGGTTAAGTTTGGAGAAGGATGAGCTGGAATGACTTAAGGCAAAGCACACCATTCAAGACTCAAACCTGCTGAAGATCTCCTAGAATCTTCAACTCTCAGTGC